AAATATCAATTGCCTTTGCGGAAAGAGCAAACAATTAACCAACAAGATTCGTAAATTAATACTCTCTCCCACGCATAATAATGTTCTAGTTTCAAATTACTTGTTTAGGAACTCAAAGAATTTGGATTTGGATTTGGACCAAATTCTTCAAATTCAAAACTAAATCAAATACAAATTCGCACCTCTTGTTATTTACAAATTTAAGTCCAACTTTACTTTAATTAAGAACTTATAATTAAAGAGTGATATCCCCTAATATAATGACAATTCCATACATATCAACTCACTTTCATTACTGTTTTTACCAATTTCAAATTTCAAACTCTAGAATTGAAATTCTATGACTTTCCATACAATGTTTGGAATATGAAATTATGAAATGTCAAATGTTGGAATTGAAATCTAAGATTTCAAATGCTTTCTGGTTTCTAAACACTACGCAATGAAAATTATGGTCCGTTTGGTACACAGAATTAACAAAATTGAAATTGAATTGGAATTAAAATTCTATAGCCTGTAGGATTGAATTAGATGGAATTGAATTATTCAATTCTAATTCATTTTTTACACTACTAATTCCAAATCTATATATGTTTGTGCTACCAAATACGGAGTAGCAGATTTGGAATTACAGACCCTAATTTCAATTCCATGATTTAAATTCCGTGTACCAAATGGAGCCTTAATATAATTTGATATATGTCAATAGTAAGATATAACATTATTGTGGAACGGATGAAGTAATTAAATTGTTCTCTCTCTTTCTGCATCAAATTGATCCCTCTCTTGTTGATGATTTTAGTGTCATCGGTTATTTTGTGTGATTGAATTTACTTAGATCAGACAAGAATTTGAATAGATATTAAGAATAATTTTTCGAAAGGCTTGTTCTTGATTAATGTATTTTGCTATATCCCAAAATAACTTTGATCTGAAAGCATATTCGCGATGAGTTAAACTATCAAGTTGTAATTTTCGTTCTTCGTTTATTAATTCTTCAATATACCTTTCCTCCTAAATTTCTCTCTTTCTTCTCTATACTTTTTGCGCTTTCTTGCTGATTTGTGACCTCTTTTAATTCATTTTACTGAGTATTTTAATGATTTTCGCATCTTGAAAATTTGTGGGAATTATTAATTTTTGGCCTGCTTTGTTTTGTTTTTTGAAGCTAATAATGGATCTCTCTCTTTCTTCTTAATGTTCCATTAAAGTTATTATTTTTAATCTAAACCAAAATTGAGGCAAAGTTTAAAATAAAAATTATTAGTATATACTGTATTTTAAAACTTAATCAATAATTGTACAAAATTAAAAAAAAAATAGACTACGTTATTTTATTAAATAAGTAATGAAAATAAAAAATGAAGGTGGCCGTACTATATATAAATAAAATAAATACTCCGAGAAATCATTTAGGATGGAGTGAATATCAATTTGAACGCATGTGCCTTTTTCTTCACTCTTAAATATCTCTTGCTTCACCTTTCTTCTTCTTTAATTAATTAATTAATTAATTAATAATAACCCTTTTGTTCATTTTTCGGGATTGCAGTTTGAATACATGAAGGCAGGCTAGATTCTAGAAAAGCATGTTATAGACTTATAATTATATTAACATTGGTGATAGTCACGACTCATGACTCACGAATTTCTCTCCTGGACTTGAGTGGTAGGAAGCCTACTCTTCAGGATTTATGAAGAAGTTCGTCCAGGTTTCAACAGAGACAAAAGCGCTAGTTCTTTATGCATCATTAGCTTGAGAATGACATGAACATATACTATATTGTAACAGAGTCAATAACACTAAAAAATAGTGATGATATTCACACTAAGTTCATCCACACATTAATTTCACTCCTTTATTTTCTAAACTACTTTTAGAATCGTGAACTCGTACGCATTCTAAAAATTTTTACCATTTTGATAAAATTATATTTTGAATTAAAATACAATTTCATTTAGTTTAATTTTATAATAAATATATAGTATGCATTATAGAAATGTTTTTTAACTATTAGATATGATACCTTTTTTCAAATAAAAGTTGCAGTTTTACTAATGATATAGATTTATTAGTATTTATACATAATTCTTTTGTAAAATAACAAAAGGGAAATTTTTTGAGTAGTTTTAAGAATTTATATATAAAGCTTTGTTTTTAAAAAAAATAGTAAAATTTATATAACATTTTTTAATATTAAAATCATCATGTAGATTAAAATAAATTAAAATTGTGAAATAAATACTGGTGTAATACTTAGAAAATCGGAAGTTCTATACAAAGTTAATGGTAATTTATTGTAATATTATGAAAGCTAGTCTTCAAAAAAATTATGAAAGCTATTTTATTTAATGAAATATTAGCATAATAGATGCTAAAGTTTTAAAATTAAAATTAAACAACAACAACCCAGTTTGATCCCATGAAAAACTTAAATTAAAGTTTATATTTTTTTGAAAACTAATATAATAAAATAAAATAAATGGTGGATAGTTTTAAAAATTTATATATAATGTTGTTTTTTTAAAATTTTAAAGTGTATATGCTTTTTTAAATAATAATATAATAATGCATCACGGGATGTATTTAGTTGGCAGAGTGTATTTAACATACATTTATCATCACTTTTATAATGTTTGACCTCAAACTTTGACATCGTGTCATTGGTATGTGTTGGAGTTAAAGTTCCGACTATGGCCCAAAAGACCAAAACCCTCTTTTGGGCCAGAATGATGGTGGGAAGAGGGGGAATGATATATGGCATGGAACTTGGAAGTCTCCTCTATTAACGTATGTGCCTGATTGTTATACGAGAATGTAGGTGGCCCGAGGATCTTATCTTGAGTAGAGGTTACAATTACGAAGAGTAGTATTTTCTCTATCTATATCTTGATTGTTATACTCTTCTCTCTCTTGAATTTCATCCGCTCTTCTTTCCTTCCATCCCTAATTTGTAGAGCCCAACTAATTTTGGTCATAGCACATGAGTTCATTAATTACATTTGCCTTATATATTATGACATGTTCTTTTCTCATTAGACTTGGAGATTGTTCCAATTACTGGTGTCGGTTCGTTGTTCTAGAAGAGTTGACCACATGGTGTGGCCTATGATGACTCTTGACGTAATCTGAGCATAAAAGACGGATGGGTGCTGAGCTCGTCACATGTCCGATCATGCCAAACTCTCTCCCTGGTATGCTGATAGCCGATAATGCCAAACTCTCTACCTGGTGTGTTGATGGCCGGCCATGCTAAATTCTAGCCCTTGGTGTGTTAATGGCAAAGCTCGACCCCTAGTGTTTTCATGGTCGAGTTCACACCTTCTTCTTTAAGGCTTTCTGATGTCAATGAGCTAGACTGTAGAGCTCATGAGTGATGAGGCCACCTCAGCGGGATGAGGCCGAGCATAGAGCCTTGCCTTCACTCATCACTTGCTTATGGACCTTAGAAATACCTTCCAAAACCATATACTAAAGGGCCTGGTTTCAGGCCCAATATACCCATCAATTCTATTTCTCCCATTAGTTTTGACGTTAAAAAGTGTACAAAAAAGTTGAGTTTGAGTCAGAAAATATGATCAAATATGATTTGAAACAAAAATAGTATAACATAGAAAGAGACAAAAATATAAATAAATGGAATATAATCTATATCAATAAAAACATGATATTCCATAAATATACTCATAATATTTATTTCGACATTTATTTTTTTCTAATATCATCCAACACTTTTTGTTTCTTCCCATTTTTCTAGTTTCTTCCATCCTTTTCAAAAAAAATTAACACCTTCAATTTTCTTCTAATGTCTTCACATTTTTTTGACTTGTTTTCAGATCTTCAACTTTTTTGAATTGCGTCTAGGGCTGAGCAAGAACCGAACCGATACCAAAATTTCCCGAAAAACTGAGAATACCGAACCGAAAAATACCGAACCGAAAAAGTACCGAGAAGAAACCGAACCATACCGAACCGAATGGTCGGTACGGTATTCGGGAACGGTACGAGGTGACCTCCCATACCGAAAATCTCGTACCGAACATATATACTAAAATATTATAAAAAAATAATACTCTAGAGTAATATTTTTATATTCCTTCACTACATAATAATTTTCTTTAAAAAAATTTTGTTCAAGTTCTATGATGTGTAAATTATACTTTTATTTGAGTTTTAATTTTTATGTATGAACATAAAAGTATTCACAAGGATTCGAAATACTCCTTTGTTGTCATTCATTTTTTTAGTTTGTGAAATATAAACTAAGTTTTGATATGCATCTCTTGCATTTAAATATTCATTTTTGTAATTTTTCATATTTTTTATTTAAATTCACTTTTAATTTTCAAAAATAAAGGGGTATTGTTAAATTTTAACGTGTAAACTAGGTATATATATTTATCCCGATTTGTACCGAAACCGATACCGAACCATCTCGAACCATACCGAACTGATATGTCGGGATCGGGATCGGTACGGAGTAAAATCCCATACCGAAGCAAAATATTTGGTACGGTATCGGTACGAGCTAAATACCGTACCATGCTCACCCCTAATTGCGTCAAACATTCAGCTTGGTTTTTCCAACCTAAAACAAGAGGCCTTAATCCCCTCACAGTATTTTACTCCGTAGTTCGGAGTGGTGATAATGAGCCAAGTCAAATTGGTACACTAAACGTTATTTGCTTTTTAGCTGGGCCGGCCTTGAACTTGTCCAACATGCCGGATTACACCCGGCCCAGAATAAGTGAGTGCCCAATAAATGTTTTATAGGAAGTATTACAAATACTACCTCCGTTTTGAGTATCTGTCTCGTTTTTACTTTTTTCGATCAATCATTTTCAATCTTTAACACATAATTAAATAAAATAAATATATATTGTATATGAATTAAATAAAATAGTATTTTGAAAATATTTGATATAATAAACCAACAAAATTAATTTTGTATTAAAATCTAATATCATTTTTATATAATTTGAGATTAAAGTTTATCAATTTTGATAAAAAATGTCAAAAATGGATAAATACTCAAGGACGGAAAGAGTAGAAAAACAGAAATAATACTCTCCTCCTGGCCCTGTGATTTGAAGAACAGCGAAGCAGAGAATGTGATAGGCCGCGCTATATCATCCTCCAGGTGCGATTTCTTCCCTTTATTCTTCTCGTTTTGAATAATTGAATGCTTTATTTTCTTTTCTGATTTCTTCTTTTCTGCTATTTCATTTAGTCATTTTGTTTGGCGAGAATATCCAAATTCTTTACTCTTAATTTTGCTCAAGATTTATTTTTAAGTTTTTGGAAAATTTTACAAAATGAGAAATTATAAGAATGCATGAACTTTTTTCACATAAGCAAAATAATTAAAAGATAATTCTTTGCTCAAGATAAACCCAAATTTTTTTTGTTGTAAAGCCAAGATTCAGACTTTAATTTTGGGTAGCCCATTTTGTAGTCAAAAGCCAAAATCTGGAATAATGCACACAAAATTCATTCTAATTCTTCAAATTTAGGTTTTTAATAATATCAGGCTGTGTACCTAGGGGAAGAAGTTGAAATTTCACTCCATTTCCTTCCTCTCCACTTCCTTTCTCTCAATTTCCTTCTTCTCCATGTACTTCCCTTGCCAAACATAAACTTAGTGTCTATGAACTTTAACAAACCAATGGTGCAAGAGGAAATAACTTCTACTCTGTAGGAGTATATTTTTATATGGGCAAAGTTGTATACATATTTCGGTCCGGTTCTATGACCACTCACTTTGAGTTGCCACGGAAGACACTGTCCCAATTGAGACACCTGCAGTGCTTCGTTCGCAATATTGATAGTTCCTATCCTTCTAACCCCTCCGTTAACTCCTCCACCCAATCTCGATCCCAATCCATCCCCTACTTACGTCAATTGCACCCGCAAGTTTAGTTGATTTTGGAGTCAAAATTTTTGGCCATTTTACTTCCATCATCTCCGATGGAGCCAAAAATTGACCATTTTTTAGCTTTGGGTGTGATGGAATAAAGCAAAATGAATCTCTAAACTGTCTACGCTTCTTTAATAAATGATGTAGCAGTTACTCAATCAATGTAACTTTTGACGCTGAGCCGGGGGTCTCTTTGGAAACAACCTCCGTAGGAGTATTTTTTTTATATGGGCGAAGTCGTATACATATTTCGGTCTGGTTCTATGACCACTCACTTTGCGTTGCCACGGAAGAACTGTTTGATAAAAATTTTGTTTGGCGAGAATATCCAAATTCTTTACTCTTAATTTTGCTCAAGATTTATTTTTAAGTTTTTGGAAAATGGAAACAACCTCCGTAGGAGTATTTTTTTTATATGGGCAAAGTCGTATACATATTTCGGTCTGGTTCTATGACCACTCACTTTGAGTTGCCACGGAAGAACTGTCCAATCTGATACACCTACGGTGCTTCGTTCGCAAAATTGATAGTTCTTCCCCCCTAACCCCTTCACCTAGTCCCGATCCTAATCCATCCCCACTCACGTCAACTGCACCCCGCAAGTTCAGTTGACTTTAGAGTTAAAATTTTTGCAACCGGAGCACCGTAGACGGACAGTGTCCTCCATGACCACTCAAAGTGAGTATCCATAGAACATGTTTCGTGCATATTTTGACCACAGACCCTAATAGAATTGGGACTGTACTTGGTTTGGTTTGGTTTGGTCGTGGTTGTCGTTCACATTGGTGTTCATACTTTCCAGATATTTGTGCAAATACACTAATTTGGAGTACAAGTGATCAAAAAATCTTGGGAGAAAATATGGATGCCGATGACACAATACACAACGGGGGATGCCATTGCAAAAGGGTGAGATGGCGGGCACGAGCACCGCCGAGTGTTGTTGCTTGGGCATGTAACTGTTCCGACTGCTCCATGAGAGGGAACACGCACTTCATCGTTCCTTGCGAAAAGTTTGAGCTTATTGGAGATTCCAAACAGTTCCTAACAACCTACACTTTCGGTACCCATACTGCAAAACATGTTTTCTGCAAATTTTGTGGGATTACGTCGTTCTATGTTCCAAGGACAAATCCCGATGGAATAGCCGTTACGCTCAGGTGCGTGGATCCGGGCACTCTATCCCATGTTGAGATCAAACATTTTAATGGACAGGATTGGGACAAGTCATATGAAGAAACCGGCATCGCGTCGTGCTCGAAAGTGACAAAAGGGGGTTCATAATTGATCAACAATTCAGTGTTTTCTTTATTGCACACACACGAAAGATGTGTTGTGGTGCATTACTATATGGTCTTTTGACACATTGGTCCTTGGTTTGAGCAACAACATTGATAGTTGAAGAAGACATGGTGATAAAACAGGCCCTCATTAATCATTATTATTGTGTAAAAGCAAGCAGAACACCATGGCATTTTATGTGGTGGCAACTTATGTGACTTTCATTTCTTCACTCATTTTAAATTTCATCTTTTTGTGTAAAATGCTAAATTCATATATACTCTCTCTGTTATGTATCTTTTCTCTCACTTTGAATAATGTACAAAATATCATCTTTTTAGAATAATTTTATTTAAAAAATGTTATACAAAATAAAAAAAGTACTCCATACAAATTGTATCTATCAAAACTAGATAACAATTTTTACAAAACAAGATGTGACAATAATATTTTATTTTATCAAATAATCATTAAAAGCACATACAAACATAAGTTATCTAGATATTTTAAAAGTAATTGAGAAGCAAAATTTGGGACAAGGAAAGTATATTTTACTCCATTCGTCCAAATTAAATTGCATGTTTGTTTACTATTCACATAATCAAACTTAATTCATATTTTTTCTCTATTTTTGTTAGCCATTTGATAAAAATATATAGTCATGTCACCACTAGTTTTACAGTTGTAGAACTTTCAATGTAGCTTTTAAATATGTAATTTTTATTTTTTTAATTCTACACTATTTTTTATATAAAATAATTTGAAATAACTTCAGTCAAACATCTTAAACAGAAATAGACAATTTAAATTGAGACGGGGGAGTACTACATAAGAATATATAAGTTTGTTGAACTCTGCATGAGGTGAGAAACCAAAACGAGTATGAACCCCATTTTTCATCTCTTTTCCCAACGCCCATAACCAAACAATCTTTATCAAGAGTAATTCGGATATGTAATCTATAATAGAATCATAGGATGACATTCATTATATGTGTTCCTACCGTCTCCCAAATAACCGTTTGATGTTGGAAAATCGTTAACCAAAGGACACACACACAGAGAATGAACCACAATATTAAGATATAGCCTTAAATTGCTCAATCATAGACTACATAATCACCCGAAATGTATCCCAAAGTACACCACAGGCGAGAGATGGTGCCGAAAAGAAGCCTCCAATAGCAAAGACTAATAAGAGTTGCATTTTCCAAGTTTGCCCGTCAATAAGAAACATGCACCTCAGTGTATTCGCAATATCAATCACGCTTCATGGCCTTTGTGATGAAAGCTTTGGACACCCCTATTAAGAGGTAAGACAAAACGGTAACAGCAACACCAAGGAACAGAACGAAGCGGTCGTAGGCGGCTTCTTGAACAGTGTAAACTCGGACTCTTATCGTGTCCCAGTTACTCTCCGTCCAAACAGGGTCAGATACCTCATTAGTGGAGTTGGTAGGTAAAACTGTCCAATGATCTGTCTCATACTTCAATCTAGTTGAATAGGCAGGTACATACCTGAAATTACACATTTTCCAGTTCTCACTGATATTTCTATGTAAGAGAGTAATTAACAACAACAACCCAGTTGGATCCCAATTATCCAACATGAGTAGGATCTGGGGAGGGTGTGTACGCAGGCATGAAAAGTTGAAAGTGGCAGGGATGAAAAACAAAATTATTACAGGGACCAACAACAACAGATGATGTGTTGCAGGTCTGTACCTTGTAGTGGAGATGACACATTTGCCCTTCCCATCGGTTTCTGTTCGAATGCATGCTTCCCCAATGCTGCCACAAGCTTTGGGGCAAGCAGAGCTTGTATTTCTTGGCTGGATAGATGTTTTTTCTGCCAAAAAGTTCCATACAAACCGAGAGATATCCCCCACGTCACTAGGGTAGGGCACAGAGGAAGGTTCACCAGATATAACTCCAACATAATGGTTCGGACAGCTCATAGAAGGAGAAATATAGCGCTTGACCAGTCCACATGAAAAGCCTGGTTCACAACTTAAAAAGCAACTGAGGAGTTCTTCAACCAGTGAGGAGTTTGGGTTGATAGTGTTTAGAAGCAAAGCATTTACTTCATTTTGGTCACTGGCAAGGATGTAAAGACTTCGGGCAACTAGAGAAGCAGCAGTGACTATGGCTGAAGAGTTGATGCTGGCTGCGAACATCAAAGTAACACATCCAATGAGAAAACATTGTGTTTACCGAAAGATGGGACTAGTAATGATCCGATCAACTCACTGAGATCATCAAGGTGACTGTGATAGAAGTTGTTCTTGTATGCATCATCAAAATCTTCCAAAACAATTCCAGAAGTTTGTGGATTCTGTTAGAAGGCAAGGGGATAATTGTCAATATACTCAGCCAACATGCACCGCGATTAGCCAAATTTAAAAAATAAATAAAAAGAAAAACGAACAAGCAGTAAGATGAGTTTATTAACACAGGTAACCCAAGTATGTTGATAAATTATTAGAAACACCCCAGGTTGCTAACACCCTCATATGACATGTTACCAATTTGATTAAAGAAAAGAAAAGTTAATTTTAGATGGAAAAACAAGAAAATATTTAGTTAAAAAATGGCCATGTAGGACAGTGGTGTTATCACCATGGTGCTTCTAATAGCACCTCAAATCCATTTCACTTTCACGCGTGGCAGAGGCCAGGTCCATTTGAAATATTAGAGATATTAATCCAGACGACATATTGCAACACATTTTTTGCCCCAACCTTTCTCATAAATGCCATTAATGAAGATGGTGGTAATCCAGGATTTGATTTCTTTGCCATTGAGATCTTAACGTTTTCTGTTTTCAGTGAGTCTTGAGCATGAAACAACGAATTCAAAGTTTTATTTGTTGAAGCACCCTGCAAGAAAGGATAGCATAGGTGACATTATATGAACAAATACATTGATTTTGTGAGACATGTTTCTGGCATATGATAATACTCTGCAATACATATGCATGTGCCTGCATATACACACACTGATGTAAATATGTAATTAATGGCGTCCATGCCAGAACAGTAATCAACCATTAGCATTTTTCAAATTTTGCCATCATCAGCTATAAAGTCAACCTACAATTATCTTTACGCTATTGATTTTGCACTAAATTTGGTGCTCCATCACAAAAACCATTGTTCAGACCTTAACTTTGAGTAAAAATATGTAAAAACAATTCATTTGGATTGGTTTTATAAATTAACAATCAAGACATTTCAAATGGTATGTGATTTTTTACACATGTTCCCTTTCATTAGAAATCTTTTTGATGGTTCAGTGATGGACAAAATTAGTACAATATCAACAGTTGATCCTTTTTAGAGAGTATTTGGTTAAAATTCAGGTACCAGATTGGAATGAAGAATGAGGAATAAGGTTGATAAGGTAAGGCTTTAGGCATGATTGATGAAATCAAGCATTTGGTTTGGTTTTGAAAACGATGTTCTAATGTTTCAATCACTCTATTAGCCCCCAGAGGAATAACTTTCTGATGATTTTGAATTAGGTATTTGTGAATTCAAATCATTTGAGAAAATAAACGAGTTCCCAGGAATGGTTGTGAAACCCGGGGGGGGGGGGGGGGGGGTTAGGGGTACAAGGAATTAGGTTTGAGAAGGTTTAAGGAAAGAATTTTAGGAGTCATTTGGGTAACCAAACAAGAGGTATGGGTTTGTATTCCCCAAACCCATACCTTATACTGATACCCGAGGGAGCCAATCATGGACATGGTCAATATTAGAGTGGATGAAAAACTGGAACACCTAAATAGTTGTGAGACACTGAGACCAGTTGCAGAATTAACTCTTCTTGACAAGCATATAGCTCTTACTTCACCATGTCTTTAATTTTAGAAAAGGATCCCTATAGTGACATTGCAAAAAAAATGATGCAAAAATATTGTAGAGAAAGTGTAGTTTTGAGCAATTTCCAATATTTAATTATATTTGTAATGCTTTAAGCACAAGAAATAAAAATCTTACCCCGGTTGGATGAGCAAAGAATTTCTTTACACCCTCTGTGACACTCTTCCCAACTGACCCAATTTCAAAAACCTACAAATCATTTAACATTATAAGTGCCCCTCCAATCAAATATACTCAACAACAACAACAACACCAACCCAGTATAATCCCACGAAAGTAGGGTCTGGGGAGGGTGGGTGTATGCAAACCTTGCCCCTACTTTAAAGTAGAGAGTCTGTTTCTAAGAGACCCCCAACTCGGGCAAAACGTAAAGCACATAGCACGAAAGAAAGAGCAAGCTAAGAGTAGATACAACATAACACAAGAAACTAAACGAGGAAAAAAAGCAAAAGTCAATAAGCAAGGAAAGCACACAACTGTAAGAGAGAAAGGCTAACTTTCTTATACTAAAAAAGCTAGAGAGACTAGCACAGAGTCCCAGAAAGCTAGCCAACTACCCTAGTCCTAGATCTCTAGACCCTTCTATCAAAGGTCATATCCTCAATTAGGGCTAAACAACCTAGATCCTGTCTGATCACCTCCTTCGAATTCTTTTTAGGCCTACCTCTTTCTCCACCCCCGCCCACTATCATTATCTTCTCACACCTCCGCACCGGAGCCTCAACACTATGCTGCTTCACATGCCCAAACCACCTCCAATAAAATATACTCAAAGTCTCAAATAAATATCACCTTTCACAGTTTCACCTTTTCTAATGAATAATAGCACCATCTTAGGGGAGAAAAGCAATTTTTCTATAGGCCAAATAGCACCAGTACCCCCCATGGTTTGCAAAATATGCACCAAAACCCCCTCTGCTTTCAAAACTTATTTCTAAAGTCCTTGTGGTTTCAAAATGATGCACCCGTGCCCCCTCTGATCATTTTCCGACCATTTTTCCGGCGAAGAAGGGGGGCATTGCTGCATATTTACTAAACTACGGGGTATCGGTGTTGATATTTATTTCTTGCTTATTTTTTTGTTTTTTTCCATTTTTTCTTTTATTTGTTTTTTTATTAATAAAGGTTTTTTTTAAATTATTTTATAATGTTCATAAAATTTAAAGTTATTTTTTTTTTTTGAAAAAATTAACATATAATGTATATGTACTTCTCAAATCAACAATTTTTGTTTTTTCTAAAAAAATTAAACTTTTTTTTGAGAATTTCAAAAAAATGAGGAATAAAATAAGAAACAAAATAATACAAAAATAAAAATGAATATCTTTTTTGAACATCTCAATTCTAGGGACTTTTTTAGGCTTGTCCATTTTTTGTATCAGACTTTTTTTGAGTATTTTTATTTTTCATTTTATTTTTCCATATTTTTATTTTTTTATTCTAGGTTTTTTTCTTTTTGAACTTTCCAAATAAGTACGTAACAAAAAAAGAAAATGTTTAATTTCAAATAGATGCAATGTATGTTAATTTTTTTATTTTTATTTTTATTTCAAACACAAAAAATTTTAAAATTTTAAAACATTATAAAAAATTGAAAATAAATTAGAAAAAAATCTAGGAAAATAAAAAAGAGATAGAAAATATTTAAAAAAAGAAAAACAAAAATAATAAATGAAAAATAAAAATTGAGCACGAATGCCCCCTATGGTTTAAAAATTATGCGCAAATGCCCCCTCGTCGCCGGAAATTGTCGGAAAATGATCAGAGGGGGCACGGGTGCAGCATTTTAAAACCACGGGGACTTTAGAAATAAGTTTTGAAAATAGAGGGGGTATTGGTGCCAATTTTCCAAACCACAGGGGGGCATCAGAGCTATTTGTCCTTTTTCTATACATGAAACAATTTTATTTAATGATGAATTCATTCATAAATATATTGCAAATATACATCTAAATTTTACTAAAGAATGCATGTAGTGGAAAACGGGAGGGGGTACTATCACAAAATCTTATTCTAAGTCCTCTTATGTTTTTTTTACTAAAGCCATTTTCCATGAATTATAGTTCACTAAGGCAAAGTGTTGTCAATGTCTGTATAAGTGTATAATTAGTGGAACATAAGAATTAATCTTCATCAAGATCTCTCAGTTCTCGCTTGGACTATCAAACTCTCAATCTCTCACAGTCTCACCCACAATGCTGATGACATAAAAAAACTCACAAGAGTACTTGTTCCATAGTAGTGCATGTGTGTGCGCGCGCGTGCAAGTGGTGGGGGGCTACAGCTCAGCTGTTCAGGGTTTATAGTTTGACCACTCTAGAGGAAGACTGGTAACTGGTGGTTAGCTTTTAAATAAAAATCTGAATTTTGCAAGCTTAGAAGTACCGTCTCAATCATTGAAAAATCAAGCCCCTTAATAGCATCTGAATGTTGATCAAGTTCAAGAAGAAACCTCCTGCTACCAAGATATCCCCAAGATTCTCCTGTGAAAACCACAAATACAAGCTGCAGCAGGGAAAATCCATCAAACATATACGCAAAGCAGAGTGGCAGACATAAATTTGTAGAATAAAAAAGGTTGCAGCAAACGAATACTCCACCTGAATTAAAGAAATAGTAAAATTTACCACGACATATAGCAAAACAACCATTACTGACACAAGCATAGACAAATCAGGTTTTCAGTGTTTTACTTCTTTTTTTAGATTGGTCGACACGATGAGTGCCATATCTTAACACTGATAATTATTTCGATCTGGTGAATATGTCAATGCATAAGGATCCACTAACAGGCAATGCCAATAAAATACAGAGTACATACTAAATACCTCTGCATGGGAAAACATGCATAAATAGTTAAAAACGGATAAACCTGTGACTTTTCGCACAAGGGCCCCCACTATTGATCACTATACAATGAAACTACTGAGGGATAAGACTTTTTAATGATAAAAATTAGTAGGGCCATTTCAGGTAAGTTGTGATATTGATATTAGTTAACACATTAGGATAATAAAATGTGCAAATCTGCAAGAAGACAAATTATGATTTATCATTCACAGAAAAACTGTAGGCATGCACACAAATAGTTCAATACCAACCTGTTTGTTTAAGTTACTACTCGACCAATCAACACGGGAAAGAGCATCTACCGCAGCCAAGAGTGAGATTAAACCCTAGTAAATGGCTCATAGTTTAGGAAGAAATGATCATAAGATATCATTTAACAAAAATTAAAGTGTTAACAAAAAAATTATATTGTTCTCTGCAGTAATGGTAATATACAGATTCATCATGCATAAAAAAGAACCTACAGATATGGGTGAATCCGCGCCAATACTTTTGTCGCGAAAAAAGGATGCAGAATCCATGGAAGCAACTGCTAATATAATAGGCCTTGGCTTTTCAGAAGACATGTTAATGGGTGGAAGTGCTGACCAGACACTGCCCTTCAAAGTGGAATTCCTTAAGTTAGTAACATTTAAGTAAATAAATTTTATACATGAGTTGCATAACAAGAAAACAATAAACTAGGTAAATGAGGTAACTCTATTTCTGCAAGCACGGTGCATCTAATTATTAGGAAGCATCTTCATATTAAAAAATTGTTGCAACTTGGAAGTGAAACACACTGGTGTAATGAACATTATAAACAATTGAAATTTGAAAGCTATGGATGATCAATTAAGTCTATTCTGGATAATGAACTCAAAGAGTGGTAAATTGTACCACATTTTGATTCCCATTAAATCCAATACCACACATTGTGCATAAGGTGCAAGGGAACATTGTAAACCATAAGTTTTTAGTATCAATGTATCTTGAAAGATCTGACAAACATTATTTAGCACAATACATACTATGAAAAAAATAACTTGGGCAACAAAAGATGCTAATAATAGCATTCTCTTATTAACCTCAACAATGCACTACTCTTGCTCCATTTTCAATAGCTTACCTGTATCCACCCAGTGGGAGGCAGGTTTGCTCTCTAAGACAAGATTCTGAATCGCGAGTTCCAGACTTTGTAGTCTAATAAAAACAGAAAACATGTATACATTCCGTGAGGGTTTCTTTTTCGATGGACGTAATGAAGTAACACAAGAGACAATATCATTGTAATTTTACCTGCATAACTAAATCAAAATCAACTACTTCTGCAGTGTATGGATTTTCCCTCTTCTCATTTTTTATGGCAATCTGCATCAAATATCATTTCAAAGCGTAAGAGCTATATAAATGAACATTCTATTTTCCAAAAGTGTATCATCTTGCCAAAAGCTAGAGCACCTCAGATCTGTATTCATTATGTAAATTATTACTCAGTATTGAAAAGATAAAAGTCAGGTCTTCAGTGTTTACATATTTTGACCACTTTTTTTATGTGCAAAGTGTTAATTATACCCAAGGTATAATTAACACTTTGTCTGTGAATGATGACAACGACGATTACTGGTTTGGCGTTCTACTAAATTTACTAAGCCTCCATCTTGAAAGTACTTCATAGCAAGTAAGCATTAACTAACACAGCCATTGAGTATGCACAATATTCTTCTACATGGATATAAACTAAGATTGATAGAAGGCTAGGAGGAATATCAGACCTCCCTCAATGCCAGTGTGCTACTTTCTGAAAGCAAGAATGCAGGAAAATTATAAGCCTCCCACATTACTCCAGATCCCTAAAGAAAATAAAGAAAAGAAATCATTTAAATTTGGAAGTAAAATAATAGAAGTCAATGATAACCAACTAGTTCAGACCAACTAAATCGCAGTTCCTAAATAACCGGCAACTCTCCAGTTAAAATCGCATTGTTTGCTGATTAATTTATCACACACATAGATCTAAGGGATGAATTTCCAAAAGCTACCAATAAATGTGCCAAATTGGTGTTGTGAACATACTAGCCACCAAACAGATGGTTCCTTTTGTTTGCTAACCAACTATGGTTACATTTTTATAGGATAAAGTCAAACCACACATTCTTCATAAAGTATACACCTTTTGTAAAGTGTTTGAATTACTGAAAAATAATTGGTGCATGCCTGCATTTACTGTAGTTAAAATCAACAAAGCCTAAAATGATATGATTCACTAAAAAATAACTATCGACATACAATAGGATTCCATTCAAAGCTGTCACTACTATAAGGAGCAAAGTCCGCCAGCGGAAACTTTTTGTCAGGTGAAAATCCTACAAAAGAGAAGCATTCAGGTACTTACACGAGTGATTACACACATCCCAAACGAACCATTAACGTTCACACGTAAACAATCACATGCATGTAACACCCTTACCTTTTAACGTGTTTTTTGAATGAGTTCCTGATTCAACTAACAAACCAGCTACATGTGTTGCTAAATGTGAATCACTTGACAATCTGGAAAGAAATTTGGTCTTTCATATCAATATATAATGCAGAACTGCGTACCTGACTATTCATGACGTCACTATGTCAGCATAAATCTTTATAAAAGGAGTCGATAGGATTTTCTGTAACTGTAAGGGAAAATTCTTTCGGATCCATGAAACATGCAGTATCATAATGGTTGGAACATTTATGTGTCAGGATAATATTCCTTTGCAAATCTGGTCAAGTAGGGATGGGGGAATAAAAATAAAACATGAATTTCAAACCTTGTAAAAAAGCTATCAAATTCTTCAAGAGAAATCAAAATAGCAGATGGTCTGATCAACTTAATTGGGTCCTTGAACCTGACAACTGGAGCAACAACTTTCCCACGGCCAGGGTCTAATATGCAAATTCAAATTAAAAATTAAAAAGATAGATGGAATGAACGACAAATTGACTGTCCATTATATGGATAAAAATACAACATAAATAAGGTGCATACTTGAACAGCCAATCTCCCCAGAAAGGTTGAGTAGCCGTACACATGGATATCCATCAATAGCCACATACATTGACTTCTCAAGATCAGGAACTGATTCAAAAGAGGTTGCCTGTCCTGAAGCTGTTCAACACATAACAACTTATAGATCAACACACTTAAGCATGTCACCAAGTAATCATTCAAGACTACTCCGCAACTCATTGTAGTACATAAAACCATCTAAAGATTAGATATTACTTCGCAGATTCAATATAATAGATCAAAAGTAGATACTCATGCAGTGAAACATAAGCGATTGAATTATTAAAATATAAGATGTGCAAAAGCCATATTTTTTTAGACGATTACTACAAAGCTAACCTTCCAAATAATATATTTCAAAATATTGCCTTAGGCAGTTTGCAATTCACGGTAGTGGTCGACTGACAAACAGATTAAACTGATTAAACTTTGACTACACACCTCATACAGTGTACATGGTCAACCCATATTGGTTAGCTTTATATGTAACTTAGTAAACGTCTCTTTAAACTTTAAATCCAAATAGTTCTTTTAGATGATAGATGAGTTCACCATTTAAGTTAAGACACGTGATATAGCTTCTACCCTTGATGTATCCACTCTTCCCATGCACAAGAGTAACAAAAAATACAAGTGGTACAAAAGCTAGATTAGTTTGATTAAGCGCATTTGAAATCCGCTAGAGTTACTGGCAGAGGCAGAGTCACTAGTAGGCCACTGGCCCAACAAGAGTTCCACATTATTTCTATGTATCATGGTTGTCAAGTCGTCGCCTAGGCCACGACTAGTCGCCGACTAGTCGTCCGGGCGGTTTTGCCATGGAGATTTGCTGTACGACTAGCGCCTATGGCCGACTAGGCTATTAAGCGCGCTTAGCGACGCTTAGCCGCGATCAGGCGACGCCTAATCGGTGAACAAAATGGGCCGATTTTGACCTAATTCAATTGACCCGACCCGACCCGACCCAATCGGCAGTCTGGAGGTTCGCGACCCTAGGCTTCCCGTTCCAGGGTGACTTCCGCGACTTCCAGCGAGCGACTCTCCTCCATCGATTCTCCTCCATCAGCCCTCAGCAGCGACTCTCCGTGAGATTTCTTTTACTTTGTTATCATTAAAGTATACTGTATTTGATTTAATTTTCATTGATCTGGTTCATTAAACTATAAAGTATACTTTAAAATTTTCAATTTTCTAGTATTTCAGTTTTTTTTAGTTTAATATTTCAATTTTTTTTATTTCAATTTTTTGATAACTCAAAACATGGAATTAACTATTTCAATATGTCCTTTGACTTCTTATTTGGTTAATTATCTTTCTTGGTGTGTTATTTTTAAAGATTGAAGGATATTTGTTTGTTATGTACTCTTTGTTAAGTGATTTTATGTGCTATCTTTAAACATAAGTTTGCTTTGGTTATGGTGTTTTGACATATATATATATATATATATATATATATATATTCATATTGGGTTAATATAGATATATATAATGTTAAAAATTTTAATACTAATTGTGATTTGTCGCCTAGTCTACGACTAGTCTACGACTAGTCGCCTAGTCCACTAGTCTCCCTGTCACCGACTCGACTCGACTTGTCGACTTAACAACCATGCTATGTATATACTCCCATCCTTAAAAATAGCCATGGTTGGTGAAATACAACTTTTAAATTTGACAAGATAGAACTGTCATAAGTCATAAAACTGTACTTATATTTTTAAAATTCAATTGTTTGTTAACTACCTCTATCATATTTTAAAATTCAATTGTTTGTTAACTGTACTTATATTATTAAAATTCAACTGTTTGGCAAATTACATCAAAAATACCTTTGAACTATACACTTCCCTTTCATCATTCTATACACTAGAGAACAAAATAAATAAGTCCAGCATTTATTCACTTCTAAATCAAAATCATAACTCAACCAAACAATAATTTCTTGTTGGATGGTGTTTCTTCAATTAGACTGGCTATATGAATGTTTCAATTGCATCCTTTAAGATATAGAATTCAAGTTGTGCTGTAAGAACCCTTAACTTGCTTTATCCTGTGAAATTTCAAACCTTTTGTAGCAACAATAGAGTGCTTCTACCATGCACCTAAAGTGTGTCATGGACCTTCTCACAGAGGCAAATATTATAAAAATAAATTTATTGCCCATGGTTTCTTAACATATTACTCACTATAACTTTGTTTTATTCGTTGAAATACTGTATTTCTTTTTTACTTGTCATTTACTCAGTATAACAACTGAGTAGAATCCTGCCCACAGCAGGGTGTAGTTGTCATATACTCTGTATCAAAATTTAAATTTAGCTGGTTAGCTCAGCCCGGAAAGAATCCGATTCTGAATGATTTAGTGCTACCTTGAATAAGTGAAGTAACACAAAGCAATTTTTCCGGATAGAATGAAATATTTCGACCAATAATTGAACTTTGATCTACTAATCTAAAAAAGCTCAGCATGAAAGGAACGACGTACCTGAGAGAGAGGCTTGAAGACGCAAGAAGAAACAGAGAATAGCGATCCAGCAGACCATTGCTCCGGTTGGATTGCCGCAGATACGGGAGGAAGCACGAAAATGTAACCCTAGGCAATAGGCATTTGCAATCCAGTACACTTCACATGAGCCTCGCCCAATAATTTGAACTGAAGCTCGATAGGCAAATGCGTAATGGTTCGCCTGCTGGGCTTAGCGGTCCACTGTTTCGCCGATCAATGACGACTGGCGCCCGGCTGTTTGGAGCAGCGGGAGAAACATGAAAAAGTGGAAATTTTGATAACTAGTGCGAGTGATTAAAATGTCAACTTTTTTTGTCAAAATAATTATTTTGTTAATAAATGAGAGAAAATACTTAGAGATAATAAAGATATATTTCTGAATTCTATTGATCTTAATTCTAATATTCTCTTTGGAAAGATATTAAACCTTTTATTTATAGTAAACAAGTTTAGTATGAATACAAATACAAGTGGGAAGGATTGTACAAAAATATTATTCCACAATGGGTGTCTTAATATATTATTCTAGATTATAGACCTGATTAATTGAACAAATGAACAATCATTAATTTTATAACACTCCCCCCTTGAATGTTCATTTTTCAATTAATGATGAGTACTTTGTGAAATGGGCATAGTTTAGAAACTCATTCTAATTTTATGTACTGTCTTGTTAAAAACCTTGTCGGAAAAACACAGTGGGATAAAAACCTGATCAAGAAAAAAAGAGTATAGTTCATAAAATTCTCCCTCTTAGCTTAGCATAATTGACGGAGGCAACGCATATCAATGTTGTGTACGAGTTCTTCAATTTTCTTCGGGCAACGCTTTTGTAAATAAATCAGCAGAGTTCTCACAGGACTTGATTTGCTTGATGTCAACTTTTCCATCTTTCTCAAGATCGTGTGTTGAGAAAAATTTTGGTGATATATGCTTTGTTCGGTCTCCTTTGATGTAACCCTTTTTCACTTGAGCAATGCATGCAGTGTTGTCTTCATATATAAAAGTCGGATGACTAGTGATTGTTTCTATGCCACACTCGCTCGGGATATGTTGAATCACTTATCGCAACCATACACGTTCTCTACCTGTTTCGTAGAGAGATATCAACTCTGCATGATTTGATGATGTGGCAGTCAAAGTTTACTTCATCGATCTGCATGATATCGCGACATCTCCATAAGTAAACACATATCATGTTTGAGATTTTGCCTTTTGTGGACCAGACAAATATCCTGCATTAGTGTATCCAATAAAAGTGGCCTTGGCGCCTTTGCGGTAGAATAGACCAACGACGATGGTACCATTGAGATATCGCAAAATGTGTTTAATGTCATTCCAATGCCTCCTAGTCAGGGTCGAATAGTGTTTGGCTAACAAGTTCACTGAGAATGCAATATCTGGTCTAGTGTTGTTTGCTAGATATATCAAAGCTCTAATAGCGCTCAAGTATCGTATTTCTAGACCGATTATTTCTTCATCATTTTCACAAGATCGGAACGTAACGTCATATACATTGAGAGAGCGGACAACCATCCGGGATGTGAAAGGATGTGCTTTATCCATATAAAACCGCTTCAGAACTTCTTCGTGTGATTTGTCTGGTGGATGAATATTCTGTCTTTCAAATGGTCAATTTGAAGACCAAGACAAAAGTTTGTTCACTCAAGATCTTTCATCTAAAATTCTTTCATGAGATATTATGCAGTTTTTCTATTTCATCAAGAATTTCAATGATGTTTAAATCATCAACATATACTGCAATTATGACAAAGCCTGATTTGGATCTACACATGAAAACACGTGGACTAATTATATCAATTTTGAATCCTTCCGTAACACCCTAATCCGTTCAGGTCTGTAGTCTCTTTCGGACTAAAATACTAACTTGATAATCGTAAAAATTTGAAACATTTCAAACACTTATTAATTACAATAATATTTTTCATAACATAAACAGTATGGAGTTTTCAATATTACGGGACCTTAACCAATCATAATCACAAACATAATTTATTTATGTTCTTCAATTTAAAACCATCACATTCATTCCAACAATCTCGCCTCTGTCTGCCTGCAGGAGCATGTCACATCATTCTTTGTATTAACCTGCGTGTTACAAATAAAACATACTACACGCTCAACATTGAAGCTGAGTAAGCATATTTAATGCGTCGAACATCCATATAAATTGAATCTCAATTCATAATCAAATCATTTGATATCATCCACATAATGTTCAATTCAAGCATTCATCATGAACGATATTCACAATATTCAATGCAAGTCATTTATCATTCGTGATATTCACAATATTCAATTCAAGTCATTTCATGATATATATATATAACATTCCATATTGAATATTTCAACAGTGCTCTTAAATTATTCTTAATCCAAGGCCAAATCATTGTAATAACAAAACTCTCAAACTATTCTTAGTCTAAGACACTAATTTTAACCAACTCTTAAACAAATTCTAGTTTAATGTTTTTAAATTATATTCCAGTTTAAGGAACTCCCGACCAACCCTTAAGCTAGGTCTAGTTTAAGATACAAATTTTCAAGAAAGTTTTCAAAATCTTAAACTTACCTTCGCTTAAGGTCAACCAGAAACCAAACAACGGAATGCTCACTGTCGGGTTGGATGGTATCCCCAAACGAGTGATCCTGGGGTTTGGTTTGTGGATCTCGTACGTACGCTTTTACCCAGACCAACGAATATTCATAGTTATACCCGCAAGACATATTTCTAATCTATCTTAGAGATCTTTTAGATAGTATTAGAAACCAACATCAACATGGATATATCTTAGAGTTCTTCTAGATATCTTTAACAATATACATCATTTTCATAATCATCAACATGTCCATTTTTAGGCATCATTCAATCATTCATAAATATCATTCTAATCAGGATATTCATCAAGGTTTAATTATCATAATAATCAATCAATAATATTCATCATAATCATCAATCGATATATTCATCATAATCTATAATACTCAAAAATAGTCATCATAACATTCATTATCAAGTAGCGGCCTAGCGTCGAGTGTTAACACCCTAGCTTGCTGTCATGCATCATATAAGATGTTATTTGTCGAAAACATCATTTTTATTGTGAAAAATTATCTTTATATTAATCATAATTGATTGGTATCAAAAATAGGATTTTAGAGCTCAAAAATAGCATTTCCGAAAATATGTTCGAATCAGAAATTCGGGGGATCGATCCATGCTAGAGAAAAATACACCCAGGGGATCGATCCAGTAGGGTGGATCGATCCACTCTGCTGGTTTTTTGATCACTGTTCATCATCTTCTTCGTTCGGCTAGTTTTTCTCCAACTCCATTTTTGGTCACCAAACTTTAATTAAATTATATTTTATATTCTCCTAGGTTTATATATCAGTTTGCAATCATTAATTCATAGTTTTAACAACAATTTCATGGTTTATGATTTTTGGTTCTTCAAATATGTCAAACACAAAACTCAACCAAACGACCATTTATGAACGTAGAAACGATTTATATAAACATTCTAGTTACTAGATATATCTACGGGCTTACATTGAAGGTTTTGAGAATTTTCTAGCGAAACTTCCGGCGAAGTTTGTGGCTAGCTCCGGCGACTTCTCATCAAATTGAAAGCAACACTGCATTCTCCACACTCATAGCTACCTCTCAAAATTTGCTTGAAGGAAAATGGTGAAGAAATGGGAAGGTTGGGTTCCCTCATATATAAGAAGAAGTGAAGAAGAAGACATGAGTGTGACTCAAGATTCCAATTCTGGTTTGATGATCGACTTAGTGCGCAGGACAGCCAATTTGTAGGATTTCACACGCTGTTCCCTGATTGGAACTAATTTTAGTCCCAGTCGGGTACACTTTTTGGTCTAACTTTCTCCGAATTGAAATGCATTTGCACAGTTGCGATCATACAGTTAAACTCTATCTAACGATATAACTAGTATTACATCCGTGCATTGCACGGTTCATATTAGCATTATAAATTTTTGTAGGAATTGTTAAAAATTAAACAAATACACCATATAATGGAATATAATGTTATTCGTTTATGTAAAATAAAAGTATCATATAATTTATAAATTCTGAAAAAACTTCTTTGTAAACTGCATTAGTGGTACATTTGGTGGAAACATGTTCTGCATCGCCAATAAGAATCTTCAAGTCATTACGATTTGTTACTCTTGAAAATGCAACATATAATTGTAGAAACCACCTGTCCTCATTTTGGAAACATCTACTGACAATTTCTCGAAATGAAGCTCTTTATCAATTACCACTTCGTCTTCTCTGCAATACATTATGAATCAGGAAATGTCCGACGATTTGAATATCAAATACCTCGAATCTCTGAAATGACTTAAAATGTATGAAATATCATTTTACAATTGATGCTGAACAATGATAAAAATATACAAGTGGCACAAACAACAAATACACTATAGATGACAATGTTCAACACATATGTATTATTGTTTACAAATAGAAATTTAGAAATAGAATTGTATAAATAGAAAATTATATAATGTTGTACAACAAGCTAACTAAATCATTGAGCTAGGAAGTATTTTGGTTCTTTTTTCCCATAGCAATTTACCTCTTAGTAAAAATTTAGTTTTAAATGTAAATATCCATTAATTTAAAAAAATCTTATTATAAAAATAAAAAAAGTAAATGTTGAAGGAATATATTTATGAACACTTAGACGTCAAGCACCTATTCAGGCTAGTAAACAAGTTAAATCATCAACTCTTCATTTATCTCGATGGCTCTATCACAATGATTATACCTTGTAATAGCCCGCTTGCAAAAAAATTCAGCTAATGTTTTGTCCAAATTCTCAAAATCGCAAATCATAACTGTTACTTCCTTACCATAATGGATTCCTCGATACCTATTTATCAGTTAGCATTTTTGAAAGTTAGTTACGCAACAACACAATATGAAGTGTTAGTTAAGTAACTGTTTGCGTCTATAGTCCATGAGATTCGCGAAATCATGTTGAACTTACAGGTCTCCAACGGATATTGAGCCAATGTTTTCAACTAATTTGACCCATGAAGACTCAGAAGATGAAGATCCCGACGAATTCATCTTAGTGAGTTACATAATGAAAATTAAAAAAATAGTATTAAACACATTGTAATAAATTTAAATGCGTAGTATAATGTGCTCCATATGACTTTCTCATTCCACTCCTTTCCTTTCACTCTATAATTCAAGGGTTTTTCTTTGGTTGCCTTGCAATTGAAAGGGCATCCATGTCCTTCCATTCACTAATTGACATTTTACTTCTATGCCACATTTATGATTAATTAATAAGTTTCTTTATTTTTCTAAAATTGCAAACTTTCCCCAATCTAATTCTACGCTTTCGTTATCATACTTCTTCGGTTTGATTACTTAAATAATAATAATAATTGTAATAATAATAACAGTAGTAGTAATAATGATATTCTTATTTAATAATTACTCATTATTTTCTATTTCATTTATAATTAGATTGTCCTTCGTTTTGCCGATGTCCTTCTTCGGAAGGCCGCTGAACACGGACCGGGTTTATGCCAACGATCACCTCGTCTTATGGAGCCTGCACACTTGCACACTCGGGAGCAGGCGAATGGGATCGTCTTCCTGGCTCGATTCTTGTATAGCCAGTCACTAGGGATTTGGAAGCACATTGTCTGTGGCTTTGTTGTTACATTACTCTTCCGGTCCCTCATTAATGATGCGCCCGTTCCTCAGGCCCAGATGCTGATATGAGATTTGGATGCAGGCATGCTGCAGAATGCTCACATTTGCAAGAGGTTGGGATCTAGTTCTTCCGAGAGTAACATTGCCTCCTCCTCTACTCTACTCACGACAGGAGCATCTTCCTAGCCTTTGTCTAGGAGAGCCACTCGCTGACGCCCAGCCGGCTCCCGAGCCACGATGTTATACCCGGGCTTGGCCCTATCCTACCCTCCCCCATGTCCCACACTCCCATGGGAACCAAAGGACTTAGGTTCAAACATTATGATCCATTTTAGTAAGAATTCAAAGTCCTTTAACCCGGAAGGCCAAATCGCTTTCATTTTTGACCTCGGGGTTCCGCTGGCCAATCCTCATTCCGTCCAACCCAACCCCAAATATCCAAAAGTATCTTATTTCTTTTTTGATATCCAAAATAAAGTTCTTCCTACTCTTATTTTAGCCCAGGGCCGAAAATAAGAGTGTAAAATAAAACCTTTTGTTTGTTATTATTTTCCTTTTTTTAGCCTTTTATTAAGCCAATAAAACCCTCCCTTTATTCCATTCACCCCTGGCCAAAATACACTTCACAATCCCAACATAAACACCCACAAAGAGCCAAAACCCTGATCCACCACTTGCCACTCATTTCCTTCCCATATTCCCTTACACATAACCCAAACCTATAAGTCCAAAAACCACACATTATATCCCCCATCCCTGCCCCCTTTTATTAGCCAAAAACAACCCCCATTTTTACCTAAATAATAACCACAAAAACCCAGGAAACAACCACTAGGAACCAAAACACAAACCCCCACAACCCCCAGCCCATCCCTGATTTTATCCCACTAAGGAGACAGGTTTGAATGGAGAATGCCCCATGCTTTGAGAGTGGATGTTGTTAGGAAGCTTCCTCATGTTCACATTCATTGCATTGTGTATTATTTCCCCCTTCCCCCTGCCTATATAAATCAGGCCTTATGGCCAAATGTAACATATCTCTGAATATTGAAAAACCTTTTACTCTTTGAGTATTATTAAAATAGTGTGATGCTATTTTAGCCAAATTTCTAATTCTATATCTTAAGAGTGGTTATCTGAAGTGTGAGTTTTAGGTTCTAGATATATGATTAAGTGTGTCATATCTTAATTAAATTCTAGATTTAAACCCCAAGTTAGGATAAGAGTGTGTAATATCTCTTAAACACCAACTTGGTTTATCCATCATTATTTTCTATCCATTTCTTTTCCCACCATTTCTATCCTTAATCTCCTTTCTTTCCTTATATTAAAAATACCAAAAGAGCTCCTTCATTATCTCCATATATTTCCAGTCCATTCCCCCACAAAAACACCCTTCTTCCTGCCCAGAATTCTGCCAAATAATCGATTATCATTCCCCACAATCGATTATCAGTTCCATTGGAAACACCCGCAGGGATCAATAATCGATTATCCTTTCCAGATAATCGACTATCACGTTTTTCCTAAAATCTGCAGCCTTTAATAGTCGATTGTCACTTTGTGTAAATCGATTATCTCCTGCTCCAGAACCCTGAACTCAAAGCTGAATCATTCCTTGATTCCTCCTCAAAATAGCAACTCGTTTAGACCCCCGGTTCGGGCCTAACACACAACATCTACTTCCCGAGAAAAGCTAGCTCCAGAATGGTCCTGGAGGATCTTGGAGCAGCAGGAGACCTTAATTCGCATCATAGCCATTATGGAGGAGCAGCAGACCTCCCAAGCTGAGAGCTTTGCTCAAATGCGGAACGTTTTCTCAAGTTTTTACACGGATGTTCACACTAGTCTTACGCCCTGTCTTTTTGAGGGCAATGATCCCTCATCCTTTCCACCCCGTAGTGATTTATCTTTTTCTCTTTCATGAACATCTTTTTCTTTTATTTATGAGGAGGACATTGATGCTCAATTGGCTTGTGGCTTGTTTGAAACTTCTTATTTTTTCTCCGCTAACATGTTTTTACTCCTAGACATTTTTTTCCAACCACGGGGACGCGGTTGTGTTCAAGTGTGAGCTAGGAGAAGAAATGTGGTTGAAATGTTTGAATGGGAATTATTTTACATGCACACTTGCAGGAAATTGTGTTTAACTTAGTCATCAATCCAACTTGAGTAGTTAATTGATAGGTTGTCACCCATAAAAAATTAGAATTTTTAAATTTTTTGTCAAACTTTAATTTTTACTCTAATTTTTTTCAAATAGCCTTCTAATTGGCTTGAGATATATTAGTATTTTCTAAAGTTTTTTTAGATCAAATGATTTTTATTGCCTTATTAGAAATGTTGATTTTTTTCAGAATTTTTGACAAGATATAAAGGTCTATATATGTAATAAAAATAATTCTAAGATCTTTAGTGTAATTTTTATTATGATTGCGCTTAAGTGACGAATTGGAAATACTATATCCACAAAGGAGCTTTGCTTCTCCCGCGAATCGTATAAGGCGAGGGAGTAAGGCTCCGTTCCGTTCAACTTATTTTTTCTAATCTGATTTGATCTTTTGTAGTTCTGATCTGATTTTAATAAGAATAAAAAAAGCAAAAAAATAAGTTAAACGGAACGGGGCCTAAGTATGCATATGTAATAGAATAAATCCACAATCTCGATAGAGAAAACATGCTTCCGTGAGACGATAATTCCTCTCATTGAGAAGCTTTACAAAAATAAAAATAAATGACTTTTGTATTTTAGCAATTATTCTTTGAAAACTCGTTTTTATTGAAAGCATTCAAACCCTTTTTGATCTTGAAAATTACTTGTGGGAAATACAATTGTTTTAGTAACACTTTAGAACTATATGATTAAATCAAGTAAATGTACTAGCTTGACAAAAGATTTTCATATTTCCAATAGTGTGAGAGACAATTCTAAAAATGCAACTAAATGACAAGGATTGATGATTATCTTATTTGAACTTTCCTCATGTAATGCGATTAAAGCTCTTTTTAGTGATGCTGTTCAAATTTGTTGCTTGAGAGCAAACAACGTTTAAGTGTGAAAAATTTGATAAGTTCATTTTATTCTTATTTTATTGTACATATTTTAAACGTTGTTGCACAAAAATAGTGATGAATACTATTAATATGAACAATCTTTGTTAGTTGGTTTTAAGAGGAATAATAATTTGGTTCTTAAATAAATCAGTTTAGATTTTTGATTTCTTACTCATATATGAGAGAAGAAGGTTTTAAAATGAGAATTATTATTGAGAGAATCTCTGGAGAAGCGAAAACAATGTTCGGAGACATAAGGTAGCAAAACCAGGCCCAAATTGCAACAAAGCCGCGAAACTAAAAATGAAACGGGCCTAAAGCGTCCAACCCGTGGACACTTTGCGCCATTGGATGCTTTGAGTTGGACGCTTCTACTGGATTTTTTTCCAAGACTGACACGGGGAAGCATCGACTAGCTGGCTGACTACGTGGCATAGCGTCCGGATCTGGACGCTTCGACTTGGATGACATGGGATGGACGCTTTGCGTCCGACCCTATAAAAGCAGCGCCTCTTCTGCTCATTTTTATCCGATTTTCAGCAAAAATTTTCCCTTTCCCATAGTTCCAAACTCTTTTACACATTTTATAATTTCAGTGTAGTTTTTAGAGTTTTCTCGGTGCAAAGTGTACCCTGGTTCTCCTGATGCCACGAAAGCGTAAAAGTAAGTTCTCTATTTTAATTATCAATTTAATTATGTCTTTTCTATGTCAATGCATGTTTAGATCTACTATTATGATGAATAAAATTTATGAGGGATGTGATTCATACTAGGGTAATGATAATTTTTAGATGAAATTATTGTGTTGGAATTGTTCTTTAAAAATTTAAAAATTACTAGTTGTTATTATCATGAATTTTTATTGTGATTAATTAATTAAGAAATTATTAATCAAACTTTGAAAAAGATAATTGAGTTCATTGAGAAATCATGATCAAGATTAAGTCATATCCTTTAATACAAATAGTTAATTTCTATAACAAGAATTAATTATTGAATAAATGTTTAACGATATTTATTCACAAGTAATAAAGATTTGAAATGAAAATTGTTCCAACTAATAAAAGTAATCCATAAATAGCCATTACCTGAAAGTGAATTACATCCCTGTCTTTTTAAACTGAGATATCAATCACCACCCCTTTTTAAGACTTCAATTACTTGAAAACTTCTCAATTCAACTAGTAAATCTTGTTTAGCTAGCTCCTATTTTCACTTTCCCTTGAGCCGATCTTAGAGATGACACGGTGAAAAACTAGCCCTTCGGTCAAGTTGACTCCCTTTACTACAAATGTTTTATCAAGGTCTGCACCAGAATAAAAACAATTCATTTCTAAATTTTTGCTAGATGATAATTTTGGTAAAAAAGAAAAAGGTTCAGATGTTACAAACAAGGTCTGCATCAGAAAAATTTCTCATAAACAAAATTTGAAGAATAACACAAAGGCAACATGCTCCCTTGTCAACCATGGCTACTTGAGTTTGATGATTTTCTTCGGAAAAGCTTTTGAAAATCAAAGGTCAATTAATCTAGCATTTGCCAGTGTGCCACTATCATAAAACTTCTAAGATACTAACTTGACTTTAGAAAGCCATCATGCAATATTGCTTTAAAAAAGATTGTACTCACTCTAACATAAGTCTTACTAATAAAAAGGCTTAATAAATAAAAATAGATTGTTTACGTATATTGACAATGGAGATGAAAAAGTGATTTTTTAAATAATGTTTTAGTTTCGTGTAGATAATATATTAAATCAAAATGACGCATTACACATCCCTTGCTTCTTACTTCATATGATGTTTTGGGCAGTAAATTCGCCAATGCATCAAGGGTCTAGCAAAAATGGTCTCCGTTTTTATTTAATTTTTCAAATAGGTAAGGTTGTGTACATCTTAACCTCGTACCCCAATGGAGTTGGAATAGGTTCCAACACTAAACCACGCAAATGGAAGAAGACAGTTGAACACCATGTCAAGAACAACTTTGAGGATGCTATATATTGTTAAACTAAGTGAAATTCCACGCATACCTCTTTGTTAAATTATCCTCCTCTCGAACTTGTTTCTCATACAAAGTCGTAATCTTATTGAGTTTATCAGATGACACTTGAAATTCCCTCTCCAAAAGGTGAAGTTGTTTGATTGCTTCGTCCTAACACCTAAAAATAAATTGTGCATGAACAAAATTAGGACCCCCACTTCTCAATATACAAGCAGTGCATGGTCTACCTTGGCTTTGTAACTCACACTCTCCCTGAAGGTCTTTCTCATCAAACGTAGTATGCTTTTTTACAACTCTTGTTTTCTGTTTTTTCTAACACTATATTTAGTTCAAGAAATTTGAAAAGAAAAGAATGATTTTCTCTCATTTTCCTCACTAGGAATTTGATTTTCCCTCCACTTAGTATATATTTTGTCTCCTCATTTTTTTCCCGTCCAATTTCCTTTTCTTTTCCTCTCTAACCAAACAAGGAATACTATTTTCCACTTCATATTTTTTTCTTTTCCGATCCCTTTCAAATTCCTTGAACCAAACATAGTGTAAAGATTCTTTTTCCCTTCTTAGAATTTGAATTTCTGTTGTCAGATCTTAGGACAACTTCTCAAATTTCTTAGCGCTTTCGTGTGCCTTCAACACATCTTCATACATCTTAGTAGATGTCTTCATTTTCCAATCAAATTTGTGATCCCATTGAGTATATTCCCAATCAAATTTGTGTTCCCATAGTCATTGAAGTGAAATAATAACAATTCATTTAAGTTGAAAATAATAGGTTCAAAGATATTAAGAGTTCCATGAATAAGCCACCAGGTTTAAATGTGTGGCTTAAGAACAAACTTGAAACACTAAAGATTATGAGAACCAAAGAACTACTCATGGTATCAAATATCATTTCAAAAATGATTGTTAAATTAACTCAATTTAGCCAAATGCTTTTACTTTGAAAAACATTCAGCTCACCATATTCACAGAAAAAAAACTTTCAATAAAAAGACGGATCGAAAGATTATACATCGATAGGTTTAATAGAGTGCAGGCTCAAGCATACAATATACTGAAACGAAGCATATAGACATTCCCATAGCACAATCTGACCAGTACTAAACTAAGTAGTAAGAAATGAAATGACACCTGGGCTTTACATCTTGTTGAGGCATTTCGTCGAACTCATATAGAGCATTGTTCATGCAAACCAATTCCTTTCTTTTTTCACCTACAAAATCAGACATATGCTTAAGGAAATATGTAGAATAAATTTCATGTTTAGTCATTCGGGAATGAAGTCATTCAGCTAATCCTACCTGCAGGAAAATATGTACTTAGGCTCTTTTTTTGTCAGGAATGAAGTCGTTCAGCTGGTAAGGGCCGGCCTTAGAAAAATGAAAACATAAAATTGGCCTGGTCCAAAATTTACATTAGGGCCCTATTTTTTTAGAATACTTATGCTTTAAAATTATTAACACATTTTAAAATATGAGACCCTAAAATTTTAGAGGCCCTGTGCGGTTGGCCACTCTGCACACCCTTTGGGCCACCAATGTAGCTGGTCCATCTACTTCCGCCTCTCTGCTATGGCATCTTGCACGTGCTGCAGCTTGAATAGCTTTCCTAGCTTCATCCTCATGAAAGACTGATGAGAGTGAGGCCACCCTCCCTTTCGCTGGTTCTCCCATGGATTCGAGTTTTTCCACCATTTGAATTCGCCGGTTGCTCCGATTTTGCCTCGGTCACCTCTCTTGAGGGGCTTAGCCGCTTGGCAGAGATAAGGAAGCGAGAGAGATGAAATCTTAGGTCGACGACATCTTCGCTGTCGGTTGATTAGATTAGATCTCGTGGGCTTGAGGTAGCGGAGAAGGTACTCATTCTCGTACAAATATAAACATTCATTTCGAAATACTTAGTACTCATTCTGAAATAAGATAATGCTTATTTTAAAGTAACGAAGTACTTATTTTTACATATTTGTCTAATGTAATTATAATAAATAACGTAGTGTTCATCCTTAAAAAAACAATACCCATTCTCAAATAAGGGAACCCTCATTCTCAACTAAAGTATTGTTGAATTCTTTCACAATTGAAAAATTATGTACCATCATTTATTTACAAATAACGTAGTGTACATTCTGAGATAAAACAGTATCATTCTCAAAAACCTTGATGTTTATTCTTAAATAAATAAAATCCATAACATAAATAATTTTCTTTTTTTTCTCTCACCCGACCCGCTACCCTCTCCTCCTATCGATCGACTCCTCCACTAGGTTTTTCGTACAACATCTCTCTCCTCCGGCCTATCAACAGCTTCCTCGATCGACCGGGCACATCTCCCTTCCATACAATAGCTTTCTTCCTCCCGATCCGACGCAGCTCTCCTCCGATGCAGCTTCCTTCCTCTAACCCGACCCGACCCGACTAGGAGCACCTCCTTTATTCTCCGATCAATGCCTTTCTTCTTTGATTTACCGACTGTACCCAATTTTAGGTACATCCGATTGTATAGTATAATTTGCAGAGGTAGCGAGAGATATTAGATCTAAAGAAGAAGAAGGGGATCTGCGTTAAGTGCTATTGTGGATAATGACCCTGATGACTACAAAAACATGAACATTTGCTTTGACTTTGATAGAGTGGTTAGTTCCTCTCTTCATGAAATATTAAAATGAATGGTCTTGATGAGAATTTGATGATACAAATATGGAGACAAAGTTCTTGAGCGTTTCCATTATCCTTGAAAGATCACAACATTTTAGATGGAATGAATTAATACTACTATTGTAACAAGCTTAAGAAAGTAATACATCAATTGGAGGAATTAATGATTTGGATGTGCATCACAATGTTTTTTAAGATAAAATTCATATCACATCCTGGAAGTTGGTTTCTTTGAAATTAGGTTTTGAGCAGTCACACTGATTTTATATGTTCATGTGTATTTTTTCGAAATCAGCATGAGCAATTATGGTGCGAAATAATACTAATTAAACTCATGTTTTCCTACATAGGCTCTGCTATTTTCGGTTGGAAAAATAAACTTCCAACTTTTTTCAACTCTTTCCAGTTTCTTTCAATGACTTGAAAAATGTATTATGCAACGGTGAGGCTCTAGTGACATCGGAGTACGGTGCACTTCAGTGCCACTGTCATTTTGGGCCACTTTTGGTGCTCTGCTTGCAAAATTGATGATTCTTACCCCCTAACCAACCCCCTACTCCAACCCCACCCCAGGGTGACCCCAGTCACCCTGGGGTGGGGGGCTGTGCTAGGAGGGTTTAGGGGGTTGATTAGGGGGTAAGAATCATAAATTTTACAAACGGAGCACCGAAAGCGCTCCAAAATGGGCGAGTGTCATCCGTTGACACTGGATTCCAGTGTACCCCACTAATTATACAATAACATTATATATCTAAATTTATAACATAACACCTCAAACACAGACAAAGACTACATTTTTTTAAATATCCAAAATTAGTTTTCTTACATATTTATTTGGGTGATCATTTACAGTTTATTTTTTCAACCCCTTCTAGTTTCTTCCAACCTCTAGTTTCTTCTTTCTTCTAATTTCTTTCAACGTTCAACCTTAGATTTTCAACCGAAAAGAACAAAGTCTTACTCTCCTTTTAATGTACTTATTTTGCATTTCTTTGGTTTACTTTGTTTTAGTTTTTTAAGTATTTGGTTTATAAACAATTGGAATGGCTTGTGGACGGCGAAAGCTATCTTACCTACAAGTGTTTGCCTTCGAGAGAGGTTAGTCTATCTTATTTCTTCCTTTTTAATGAAGTATGGTCAAAGCTTAAATTTATGGAGTCGCATGTTTGTGGTTCCTTTTTCATTCTATTTGGTTTGATTATTATTACGGTGGGGTTCTAATGACACCGGAGTATGGTGACACTAGCGGTACCACTGTCATTTTGGACACTCCGTTCGTAAAATTGATGATTCCTACCTCCACCCCAACCTCGCCGTTACCCCCCACAGAATGTGTAGCTATAATGCGTAATAGCCACACATTTTGTGGGGAGTAACGGCGATGTTGGATTGGGGGTGCACGGGTGGGGGTTTAGGGGGTGGGTTAGGGGGTAGGAATCGCCAATTTTAAAAAATTAATTATTGTTTTTTCCATCTTACATTGTATTTGAAAAAATTCGTGGGGTTGCCTCAGACCCCATCCTGTCTTTGCCCCTGTTCTTTGAAGGTGCAGTATTTCATAGCCTTTGATTTCAGATTTTCAGGGTGAAGTTGCAGCATTTCGAGTACTTTAGCAATGGCGGATAAGAAAGCACTCTTCCGGGCCAAACTAGCACAGCGGAACCAAAAGCGTATTGAGAATCCTCTTGTAAGGTAATTAACGAATTTTTTTCTTAAGCCACTGAACTACAGAACTACAGAAGAGTAGAAGACAAAAAGTCAACTTTATGATTAGAGTGATTAGTGTAGCTAAGCAACATGGATTATGAGGAATGATTCACAGGCAGTGCTTGTGCATTTGGTAAACTAACATTGGAAATTCTATAGATGGACCAACAAAACAACCCAGTAGAATTCCATAGAAGTAAGGTCTCGAGAGGGTGTGTCCTAAAGACTCACTATCAATGCGAATGCTGAGCGTCCTAAAGACTCACATAGGGCTAAGCTTGAGAATCCTGAAGGTTTACATTGTAAAGGAACCGAACCTTCTATGGGGCTGTCTAAAGCTCGACAAACATCTTCCCTTCCTCCTAACTTTTTTGATATTAAGGAAAAAAAGAAACAAAAAAGTGGTAAGTTTCCTATTTATATAATCTGGATTTAATATGGATTTATTTTTTAATGACATTATGCGGGACTGTGGGAGGCAAATATGTGTATGAATTTATCTTTTTTGCTTTGGATTTTTTGACAAGTTATGCTTTTTACCAGGTTTGTGTATGTTAGGAGTTTATTCCAGTGATACCTCCTTTTTTAGAAGACAAACTTCTTTTAACTTTTGACATCTTCTAATTAGTCACATGCTTGATGCGCATATAACATATTACAGTTTTGCTGCACCTATTGCTTAGGTCATCCTTTCTATTTCTGCATTGCACTCTGTGAAATTAGTAAATCACTGCCGTGCAAAACCTAATTACTCCGTATTTATCATTAGCGTGTTAAAGTCGGAGTAGTTATTATTTAGGTGAACTGCGAGAGCATCCCTAAATACTTTTCTGCAACCCCACACATTCTATATAAAAATAAATTGACAATCCAACTTTTATAAAAACATTGGACAATTAATTTACCAATTTTTATCCCTAACTTTTCATCATTAAAAACTTTGTGTTGTTTGGAACTCTCTCCTTTTACTCTTTTTATTTTATCTCTAAAACAAAAAAGAACAAAAAATTTTACAACTTCTTTTGTAAACTTTTGTTTAAATTAAATTAACTCACGTCTCCCTGAGATTCGACACCCTACTTACAAGGGAATGTTTTTAGTTGTTATTTTTGCCAATTTTTTTTTGTTTTTTTTGTCCAATAAGAAGCATGCACCATAAACAATTTTTTAACTTGGGTCTGTACATAGGTTCCCATCAAGATCATACATCATAAACAGTTTCTTCATTTATTCTTAACTTGAGTCTGTACACAGGTTCCCAATCAAGACCATATAATTAATCAACATTTTGGATTTATCTCTACAAGACTTATCCAGATTGTGATATTGGATATCAGAACGTATTTCTTACTGGCCCAAAGCCCAACAACAATTTATCTTAATCAAAAATTTTTTTAATTAATTTGAGTAATTATCTATTAATAATTCTAGGGTATGTTTTGGGTGTTACATTATATATATTATAAATATTCTATATTATATATATTATATATTACTACCTCCGTCCCGCTATGTTCGTCTAGTTTTGACTTTTGGAACTGTTCATCTAAGCACTTTGACTCATCAAATTCTCTCAATGTGTAAGCCTAAATATAGTCATGTGTGATCTTGTTTGATTTGTCTTAACATATAGATTATTAATATATAATTTCTATAATTTTTTAATATACAAATTACAAGATAAAATGGATTAAAGAAGTGTATTGGATGGTGTGCAAAAATGAAAGTGGACAAATATAGTGGGACGGAGGGAGTATATATTATTACTAACTGTTTTTTTAGTGTCCTCGTTAGTTTATTACCGCTTGGCACTCTAACCTCTTGCTATCTAAGGTATCACTCTGTCTTGGTGGTTTTTACCTCTTGACTTCAGTGAGAGCCTTTGTATTAATTATTGTAGATTACATTTTTTCTTTTCCTTTCCCCCTTTCCCTTCTCTTTTCATATATATTATTCCCTTTTTCCCCCTTTTATTTTCCTTCAATTTCCTTTTTCCCTTCCCCCCCTCTCTCTAACCCTCACCAAATTCCTTACTTTTTATGCTAACGCGTTCTCGTGGAAAAAATCAAAAAAAAATTTCTTTCCAGACATTGAAAAATATTTAAAAGAAATAAGAAAAAGAAAGAAAATGGAAGTCCCACATAACGATGTTCTTGAAACAGTGCAGGGTATTCCCAGAAAACAAAAATGAAGTTCCGAACAGGAGGACTCTTTCTGACTATGTCACTCCTCATGTGGCGGAGCACAACAGCATCATTCCACTGGATGTCATTACAATTTACAAACAACTTTCATGGTCTCATCTGATCAGTTTGGTAGAGGACTAATGGAGGAGCCACACAATCATATCACTAAATTCCTCTGAGCGTGCAATACGTTCAAAATCAATGGCGTGCCAATCGATGCAACTAGACTTCATCTGTTCCCATTCTCTCTACGGAACGGAGCTCAAAGCTGGCTGGATTCATTTTTGGATAATCACTTTGCAACTTGGGACATGCCTCACAGAGAATTTTTCAAGCAATTCTTTCCGCCTTCCAAAACAGCAGAGATCAACCGGATGATCCGAAATTTCGAGTAAAATCCAAATGAGCCCCTTTACGAGGCTTGGGAAAGATTCAAAGATCTTAAAAGGCAATGCCCACATCACAATATATTAAGCTAACACCTAATTGACGGCTTTCTATGAAGGCCTAAATGAAAACTCACGGATATTGTTGGATGCCTCGACGGGTGAATCATTCATGAGCCTTGAACTTGACAAAGCTGAAGAAGTCATTGAGCGGATCTCAACAAATAGATCCACCTAATACTCTAACCATCCATGTGCTCAACCGAAAATTCGAGGCACATACGGAGTTGATCAAATGTCGACCATGGCTGCTAAGGTCAATAGCATGATGAGCATGATCCAAAAGATTGCTCAAGTCTCTGGTGCGCAAAACACTACGCCCGCATCGCCTCCTGTTCTTATTCTCATGTGTGTATCTTGTGGTGGACAACATGATCAACCCACGTGCCCATGGGATTCAACGGAGCAAGCTGATTATGTCAACTACAATCGGTCGCAGCAACAACAAAATCCATTTGGTGGATTTAATTCTCAAAATAGAAATCATCCTGATTTAATTCTCAAAACGTGTACAAAATTGAGTAAGTGTTTACAGATATCTTTAAAGGCAGTGAGTTCTTTAATATTATTTAAAAGTTTCGATTGAATAAATCTAAAATTTATTAAAATTCCAAACGACCTTTAAAAATTTTAACTGAATACACATAGATTTTAATAAATTTTAACAAATCAAACTTGAATACAACTAAACTTTTCAATTTCATAGACTTCTATTAAAATGAACAAAATTCTATGTACAATTCATCCCCACATCTTTTTAATTATGAAAATCTAAAAATACAAAGCCAATATACATTAAACATTACAAATATAGAAATTTGTCAATGATAAATAAATTAGGAAATAAAAGAATTCTCAGTAACAATAATACTCCCCACTCCCGTGACAAACACGAACATTATGTTTACAAAATAAGTAATTTGCCTAAATAGAACTAAAACATAACGACTTTCTAAATATAGGACCATATGTTTTTATTTCTCAATTTAAGACCATTGGTCATTATCTATTAGTCAATATTCAACTAAATGTCTAGCATCACTCGGACATTATTCTTCTCACTAGTCATTATTAAGTTCTATTTAGGGTATAAAAAAATTTAAGTCATACATTGAGAAATTACTTATGTTTTACTCCTATTATTTCACTTACAAAATATACTACGGAGTACTATGAAAGAAAATTAAATTGTTTCCATTTCGTGAGCAAAATCAAAAAAAGCTACTCCGCATTTTCTTATATTTTCCAACCAAATTTCGTGAACCACAGAGTATAAGTAGATGTGGATAGGTGTATAAATATGGCCGGTCGAGTTAAAATTTAGGGTTAATCTGAGTGCTGGGAAAGGAGAACGACCTGAGTCCAAACGATCAGATCAAGAGAAGAGCGATCCGAGCTTTGTTTCTTTCGTCTGATCTTTGTTTGTTTTGATCTGATTGAGGTGTGAGAAATTCATGGCTTCCGAGGAAGATTTGGTAAAAACCCCTTGCATATTTGATTGCTATTTCTATTTTTGTTTTCGTTTTTTCTGCTAGGAATCTGATTGGGGAGACATTAATTTAATCGATTTAGTCTGATTTTGTTTGATTTGGTCGGAGTAACAAGTGGGATCAATGAATGTTTCCGGTTTCTTTTGCTCCTTGATTATCTGTCCATATGTTTGCTTTGGTCTAATTGATTTTTGTTTGTTTCGCTGTCATGAAGATACCCTGGCCTGATGAGCTCTCCTCTCCAAGGAGCCCACCGGTAAAATCTCTCTTTTTTCTGCTGCTCTCACATGTTTTTATCTAGCTGCATCAACTACTAGTAGCTAAGATGTATAGCCTCAGTTGCTCTAAGCTGTGGGAGTTCATCATGTTTCTTCTTTTGCTCCCTATGTTCCAGTTGAATATACAGTTGCCTGATTAATTTTGTTTGTTTTTTTGCATGAAGCGGAGAGCATTCTTTTCTCAGGATGAGCCCTCATCCCCAGAGAGCCCAAAGGTGGTGAAATCTCTGTTGCTTTGATAGAGTTATTTTTCTTGGAATTAATTTCATAAATGGTCCTTTATAACATGGGTTCTCCATATATAGTCCTTATTCTAAGATATAACAGTTGTGCTCCCCGGTATTTGAGAAATGAGAATTATTCCATGATCGCCTCCTTTGTGGACTATATCTCAAATAATATTGGGTCAAAGGACCAATTATGGAATAGTTCTCTAATAGACATAGAGGACTACATAGATAATATTTGAGGAAACCCACTGCTATGGAGCTTACTCTTTTTCTCTCTCTTTGAATTATTGTTTATTTTTCCGTTCTGTTTTCTAGTTCACATAGTGTGACTTATTTTTATCTTGCGGGATAATTTACTACATCATCACCTGCATTAACCTGTTTATTTGACTTTGTTTTGTTTATCTTGCCAGGTAGCAAATCCCGAGTTGTACGCTCAATGCATCTCTGCGTTAAGTGCTATTGTGGACAATGACCCTGATGACCACAAAAACATGAACATTTGCTTTGACTTTGATAGAGTGGTTAGTTCCTCTCTTCATGAAATATTAAAATGAATGGTCTTGATGATAATTTGATGATACAAATATGGCAACAAAGTTCTTGAGCGTTTCCATTATCCTTGAAAGATCACAACATTATCGATGGAATGAATTAATACTCCTATTGTAACAAGCGTAATAAAGTAATACATTAATTGGAGGAATTCATGATTTGGATGTGCATCACAATGTGTTTTAAGATAAAATTCATATCACATCCTGGAAATTTGTTTCTTTGAATTTGGGTTTTGAGCAGTCACACTGATTTTATATGTTCATGTGTATTTTTTTCAAAATCAGCATGAGCAATTATGGTGCGAAATAATACTAATTAAACTCCTGTTATCCTACATAGGCTCTATTATTTTTGGTTGAAAGATTAACTTTTAACTTTTTTCAACCTTTTCCAGTTTCTTTCAACAACTTGAAATAAGTATTATGCAACGGTGAGGTACTAGTGACACCGGAGTACGATGACACTCTGATGCCACAGTCATTTAGGGCCACTTCTGGTGCTCCGCTTCCAAAATTGATGATTCTTAACCCCCAAACCAACCCCTCCCCTGTCCTGTGGTGGGGTTGGGGTAGGGGGTTTAGGGGTTGAATAGGGGGTAGGAATCATAAATTTTACAAACGGAGCACCAAAAGTGTCCCAAAATGGGTGAGTGTCATTCGTTGACACTGGATTCTAGTGTCAACGGAACCCCACTCATTATACAATAACATTATATATCCAAATTTATAACATAACACCTCAAACACGGATAAAGACCAATTTTTTAAATGTCCATAATTAGTTTTCTTACATATTTATTTGGCTGATCATTTAATGTTTATTTTTTCCAACCTCTTCTAGTTTCTTCCAACTTCTTTTGGTTTCTTCTTTCTTCCAATTTCTTTCAACGTTCAACCTTAGAATTTCAACCGAAAAGAACAAAGTCTTACCCTCCTTTTAATGTACTTATTTTGCCTTTCTTTGGTTTACTTTGTTTTAGTTTTTTAAGTATTTGGTTTATCAAGAATTGGAATGGCTTGTGGACGGCAAAAGCTATCTTGCCTACAAGTCTTTGCGTGCCAGAGAGGTTAGTCTATCTTATTTCTTCCTTTTTAATGAAGTATGGTCAAAGCTTAAATTTATGGAGTCGCATGTTTGTGGTTTCTTTTCAATTCTATTTGGTTTGATTATTATTACGGTGTGGTTCCAGTGACACCAGAGTACGGTGACACTATCAGTGCCACTGTCATTTTGGGGCACTTCCAGTGCTCCGTTCGTAAAATGGACGATGCCTACCCCCCTAAACCCCAGCCCTGCACCCCCAATCCAACCTTGCCGTTACCCCCACAAAATGTGTGGCTATTATGCATTATAGCCACACATTTTGTGGGGGATACGGCGAGGTTGGATTGGGGGTGCAGGGCTGGGGGTTTAGGGGGGTAGGAATGGTCAATTTTACGAATGGAGTACCGGAAGTGCCCCAAAATGACAATGGCACCGCTAGTGTCACCGTACTCCAGTGTCACTAGAACCCCACCGTTATTATTAGTGTTATACTAATGTTTTTTTTGTGCTGGTGATAGATGGAAACAAGACCTCAGACAACAAAGGGCCCCCCTGTTATGGCTTTTATTTGTAGTGAAGGGGTTTTGATTGCTGTTGATAATTCAGTCGCTGGCACAAAACGTTATCCGTGTGAGTTGTTTTGCTTCCGTGTATGTATATATGCTCTGTAATTTGGGAAATAAGTTGTGAATGTGCTGCTGATTTTTTGCATCATTTTCAGCTGTTCAGAATAACATTATTAACATCAGTTGTCATGTGATTGGCTGTGTCACTGGAGAGGCTGCGGACTGTGAAAATATTTGCAATCTCCTCCGCTCTCTGAAGGTAGTGATCACGATGTTTCTTGTTCTCTTCTTAGCAAAAAAAGAAATAAAAAACTTAGGATGTGGTGTGATGGTTTCTTCTTTGTATGTTTGTTGTTGTTATTGAAATCTCATTTATGTTTCAATTTTAGTACCCCAAGAAGAAACGTCATTCTGCCAAAAAGATTGCAATGCATGTAGCCAAGGTGTTGTCTTCTGAAAATATGGAGGGGTTGTGTGAAATAGTGTTTGCTGGATGGGATAAAACGGTACATTTAAGACTTCATCAGTGATTTTTTTTTTTAAATCTTGAATGTGGAGTTATGTTTATGTATGCTTTGTGGGATTTTTTTATTGGTGTTCTTTGTGTAGGGTCCTAGCTTGTACTGCTTGGGTGGTGATGGAAAGCTGTATGAGGGGGTAATGTTTCGCTGTGGATCTTGTCCAACATTTGGTGCCTTTATTGCTGTCAATAGGTATCACTCCTTTTCCTGGTCCTCAGTCCTTGAGTTTTTGAAAAAGATGTTATAGCGGTTCATGTTTTGTTAATAGGGATTTTGCCAGTATGTCACTCGATACAGCTGCAAAAGTTGTAAAGATTGGGATGACCATGGCTCTAGCAGAATCAGGCAGTGAAAGTGGGGACAGCGGAAGTGATGATGCTGGTGAAAAAAACAATGAAATTGGTGGTTCTGTAGACGGTGAGATTTCATCCAGACGCATATGATATGTTTAGTGTTAGAATGTGAAGGATGAATGCCTTTTTTCTGATGAGTATGTTCCTTTCAGTGCACTACGTTGGACGTTATGGTAGCGGCCATATCCCCGGTGGCGTCAAGGTGTACTGATGAAAGATAGAGGGGAATGCAAAGCAGGATTCAGTTAACGCAACATCAATTAGAAGGCTTCAAATTCCTACTTATTAAGTGTGTGTGTGTGTGTGTGAGCCAGGGCCGCTCTCTACTTTCGAGGAGAGGCAAGGTTTGCGTACACACACCTTTCTCAGACCCAACTGAGTTTTCTTTGTTTTTGTTGCTGCTGCTGTTGTTATACATCTAATGTGTTGTGCTTCACTTTGAATTCTCTTCTTATGAAAAAATGAGTTATGTTCCAAATGATATACTTATAACTTAGTTTTAAGTTCCGGAGGATGCTTGGTACAATGATCGTCTTAGACTTGAAAAATTGTGTCCACTACCCTTCTAATCAGGACTGCTTAGAAGTTCCATTATTGAAATTAAGATTGGGATTCGTAACTTTACCCATCAAAGATATGGACATGTTATTTTTCCACTTTTCAATCGTATGTGTATAGCCTTTTATTGACTCCTTTTTTAACCGATCTTATAATAGCATAAAAAAAGATGACATTAAAAGAAAATCACCTCTTTTAATTTGTTGGATTTTGTGGGGAAAATAACAGAATAAATCTGACAAATATTTTTTAAACAATTATTTTCTAAAAAGATAATCACGCCTTTTTGAAATAGTGTTTTTGTATATGATAGGAAGAAGCAATCTCAAAACCCAAATATGGACATAAATTGATTGTAGGTTAAATTTCATCGCTTTATCTCATCGTTAGCACTAGTAGGAGTTCAAAGATAAATACTCCGTACAAAACACAAACACTAAAAGGCTTTAAGAATACATAAATTTGTCATTCGTGCATTTAGTTATTTTAGAGAAAAATGCTAGATTCACATACACAAAGGTTACAAAACACGCAATCTTATTGTTTATGCACCTCCCCGAGAAAACAAAATGATTTTAAAGAAATAAAAAATAACAGCTGAAACGTGACAGAATTTCAGTGGATCGAACATGTCATCGAGGGTGGGGCGTCCAAGTTGGACGCCCCAACGTGGACGCCCCGGGTCCGTCCCCTAATAAAAACAGCACGATTCCACACATCCAAACATCACATTCCATTCCAATTTTAGGTTTCCCCTCTCCTTTTCTCATTTTAGCTTATAGATTAGTTATAGTAGGGGTGGGCACGAAAACCGTTCCCGTTGACCCGTTCCGAAATATACCGGAACCGTTTTGAAATTATACCTTTTTTTTGGATTTAATTTTTTTTGTTCCGAACCCGTTCTGTCCTGATTTAAAGTGGGACATTACCGGGATAACATAAAAGTGTACCGTTCCATCCCGTTTGTCCCGTTTTATATACTCTTCTAAAAACATTATTGCCTCTTACCACTTTGAATTATCTCATCTTTGCAACTTTGTATAGTACCCATGGGCATACTGCATATAATCTTGTAGCTATAGGCCAAGCATACATTTGGTATTTGTTTGCAATGGGAAGTATTACCTTCAGTGAAGGAAAAAAAATTATCTTTGCACAGGTGGGATTTGTTTAAAATCAAGGAATCCTATGTGTCGAGTAACTTATTGTACTTAATAATTAATACTTGTTGACATTCTTGTAGCATTTATTTTCAATCTTTTTGTTTTCAATTTTCATTATTGTCCGAAAATTAGGAAAAAGCAGGACAATCCGAAACCGTTCTGTTTTATCCCGGTCCCGAAAATTATGGGATAAAGTGGGATAGGCTTGTGAACCGAACCGTTCCGAACCGTTTGAATATAATGGGACAAGACGTGGGATTGTGAGAAACCCAAACCGTCCCGACCCGTGCCCACCCCTAAGTTATAGTGGTAAAGTTTTGAAGTATTTTCAGAGATTCCAACTCCAAATCTGTTCTGTTCCGCTTGTTTGGAGTGTGTAAGTTTTCCCTTTTAATATAATGATGTTTTAATACGATTTGAAATTTTATATAGTTATCCCAAATGATGTGCTGATCTTAGGTCCAAACCTTGTTTATAGGATGTGAAATTTATTATTTATGCATTACTTCTTTTTATCCATTTCGAGAAGATTTTCATAAACCTATCCAAACCTTCGCTTAGTTAGAGAAATTAGTTAATTCCTTCGTCCACTCCTCAAGGGACACAACACTCAGAGAGAAAACGAACCCTTCACTATGAAGGTTTGGTATCAGAAAAACTACAAATCATTGCCCAAAATCTCTTTATAAACATCCTCTTTCTTCTCCTTAATCGTTCACTATACATCTGTTGTCTTTCTTTTCCTTCCCCTTTTTATTAGAGCCCACTCCATCATCGTTACCCACCATGTCTGGGAGTGAACCAGTTTCCTTAGACCTTTTTAGGGTGAACCCTTCATCTTCCTTAGAGACCATCAGTCCTCCTCGATCTGTTAACTCGAACAATTAGGGAGAACTTGGTCTATTAGAATTTGGCGAGCATTTTCCCCGCCCCCGGCTTCCCATGGTTAAGCCCCCTCCTATCCCATCATACCCCTATGAAAGTTCCGGAGGATGCCTGGTACAATGATCATCTAATACTTAAAAAATTGTGTTCACTACACTTCTAATCAAGACTGTTAAGAAGGAACCGAACCGATATCGAAATTTCTCGAAAAATCGAAAAATACCAAACCGAAAAAGTACCGAGAAAGAATTGAACCGTACCGAATCGAATGGTCGGTATGATATTTGGGAACGCTATGAGGTGACGTGCCATACCGAAAAATCTCGAACCGAACATATATACTAAAATATAACTTCCTCCGTCCCCCTAAGATGTTCTCATTTTGACTTTTGGTGGTTTTTAAGGAGAGTTGAAAAAAGGTGAAAATTTACCATAATACCCTTAATGAAAATGGGTGGAGTGTATTAAATGAGATGAGTGAGGTGTAATAAATAAAGTAGGTGGGGGTAGTTGTGGTATTTAAAAAATGAAATGATAAGATGTATTGTGGACAAAGAAAAAGGACTATTGGGAAGATCTATGGGGGACGGAAGGAGTATAAAAATAACACCCTAGAGTAGTATTTTTATATTCCTTCATTAATTAATAATTTTTTTAAAAAAATGGTTCAAGTATTTGTGTATGAACATAAAAGTATTCACAAAGATTCGAAATACTCTTTTGGTTTTGTTCATTTTTTAGTTTGTGAAATATAAACTAAGTTTTGGTACGCCTCTCTTGCATTTAAATACTCATATTTTTAAATTTTTCATGTTTTTTTAAATATAAAATTAAACAAAATACTCCGTATTTTGCTAAGGTACGGGTGCCAGCTACATACCTTACGGTACCGCCCAAGCCAATCTGGGAACCAACTACGGAGTATCTGATTTCTGATCTCTAACGCAGTCCGCCGTGATTCCGCCTACTTCGTGTATTCGAGCAGTGTACTGCTCGGCCAGTCCGTTCGCGGTTGGCGTCCAGTCCAGCAGCTGTTTATCTCAAACTCGAACTCCCGGTAGTTTTTTTTGTTCTTTTAATTAGTTAATCGACATATAGTTTTTATGGTGAGTGTTTATGAATTTGTCAATAGTTTTTGTGAAATTATTAGTTTCATACGAAGTAGTATATTTTTGCCCAAATTGATATATATGTTAATTGTTGAATAAAATTGTTTATTGTGGAATTTTTTTATTAAAAATATAATCTTAAACCGAAAAAAGAACTCAAAAGTCTAACATTGTAAATTTGATAACTAAACTAAGTTTTGATGTACTCGGTGTATTAAATTTCTCCACTTTTGGTTAGAAAGATAAAGTACCAAATTAGTTTAATGGCTTATTGTTTTTTAGTCAAATGGAGAAGTTTTGAAATTAAAAAATTAATTATTGTTTTGTCCATCTGACATTGTATTTGAAAAAATTCGTGGGGTTGCCTCAGACCCCATCCTGTTTTTGCCCCTGTTCTTTGAAGGTGCAGTATTTCATAGCCTTTGATTTCAGATTTTCAGGGTGAAGTTGCAGCATTTCGAGTACTTTAGCAATGGCAGATAAGAAAGCACTCTTCCGGGCCAAACTAGCACAGCGGAACCAAAAGCGTATTGAGAATCCTCTTGTAAGGTAATTAAAGAATTTTTTTCTTAAGCCACTGAACTACAGAACTACAGAAGAGTAGAAGACAAAAAGCCAACTTTATGATTAGAGTGATTAGTGTAGCTAAACAGCATGGATTATGAGGAATGATTCACAGGCAGTGCTTGTGCATTTGGTAAACTAACATTGGAAATTCTATAGATGGACCAACAAAACAACCCAGTAGAATTCCATAGAAGTAAGGTCTCGGGAGGGTGTGTATGCAGACCGTACCCCTTCTTGAAAGTAGAGAGGCAATGCGTAGTTCTTCATCCATCCCAATTGACTTCTTCGTGGTGCATTGCCTTCTCTTCTTCTCTTTAAACACCTAGCGATATTTCGCGTGATGCCGTGATGTACGAATTTTAGTGCCCGATTTAGTTTTATTGGATGTTTTTGTTCTTTATAGAGTTCGTGTAGTCTCAATGAGAGTAATGTGGGTTTCTAAGTATTTGTATGTGGAGGGACCAAAAGTCCAAAAAATTCATTCAAGTAGTGTTTGGATATGGGAATTCATTTCAATTTTTGAATTTCAGTTCTATAATTTGAAATCCCATAATTCAAATTCAATTTCGGTATTGAACCAAATCGAATAAAATAGGCCCAATACAAAAAAACTTTAATTAGTCCTCTCCAGTCACTCAGTCTTCCCAATCGACACGCCTAGAAGTTTCAGGGTCGTCAATCGTCATCGGTATTTCTTCTTCGTTGTTGCTGGTTGCGATTGGGACAGAGGAGGTTTGCGACTCGCCATAGGAGATTTTTGATAGAGAGGACCTGCGGTAGAGCCGTAGAGGAATTTGCAACCTGCGAGTGTGCGACTCTAAGCATCCGTAACTTTTGATGGCTTTTATCTGTTGTTTTTTAAAGGTGATCTGCCATATTAAACAGTCTTGATTATACTGCCAATTTGTTTTAAAGGTGATTTGCCCTATTATACTTTTGCTCTTGTAGGGCATTGCTATAAACTGTCAGAAAAATGCATTTGCTAAAGTGACAAGCTATGGGGCAGTTTGTTTAGATGCTAGTTTAACTAAGTGGATAGGTCTGAACATGTAGAAGTGGGCATGATAAAAAAGAGCTTGGAAGTATTATAATATATTTTCTGTGATTTTCATCAGTTACCCATGAACTTCTATAACCTACCTATACCGCTTTTGACTGCAATGCTAAGTTCTCTTTTTCTTGTGTATCTTCTTCACTGTGTTGTTCAGCATGCACCATATACTTTCTGTTAGTTTAGATGAACATCTCATATTTCTAAAACATAGCACTCAATGTAGATAGAAGCTATTGATTTTCTCTTTATATTTTAAAAGCACACTCCTTCCAATACAGGTACAATGACCATGATCAACCTGTCTGTAGAGTTTGTGATGTTGTTCTAAAATCTGAGACAGACTGGACTGTTCACCAAACTTCTCGCAAACATAAAATGGTAGGTTTTTTTTACAGTATTCATATGAAGCATAAAATGTTGGTCTCTAATTATTGACAAACATGCCAACTTTTTGTTTTATTATGGAGATGTATGATGATCAATAGGATAACATCAGCATGCTGCATTAGTAAATAGTTACGTTGCAGTTGAAAAGTAAGCAAATTCCATTCCAATAGGTTGTAGTGCGCTATTTAAGGAGCTAGCCGTGGGTCCTCCTGGCTCCAAGCTAGACAATCAAGTTGATGCATCCGGGGGGGGGGGTGTTCTATGGAACTCCCTCTGTACGTTATTTAACTCTTTTAACTTCTTACTTTTAAAAATGAAAGTGAAAGCTCGTGATTGAGATGCATCCACATGAAACGATTCCTGAATTCCAGCCCCAAATTATTTTCTTTGAAAGGAAAGAAGACATAATTTTGAATGGATATAGATGGTAAGAATGAAAGATAAGATAGGCTTGAAGGGAATTCTTTTATAGATTTATAAGGTTTCACTATTGTTTTTAGCTTGAATTTAATTTTTGGTCATTATGACCTTAGATACGAGCATATAGAGATCTAGGATTAGGTTAGTTGGTCGCTTGGGTCTGGGCAGTAGTTTTTGCTCTTGCCGTTGTGTGTTTTGTATGCTTTGGTCTTTTATCCTTAGTTTGCTTTGTGCTTCTTTTTCGTGCTATGTTCTTTTTGTGTTGCTCGAGCTGGGGTCCCTTGGGAACAGGCTCTCTACTTTCAAGTAGGGGTAAGGTCTGCCTACACACATCCTACCCAAGCCCTACTATTGCGGGATTATATTGGGTGTTTTTGTTGTTAGATTCAATTTTTAAAACTTTTTAAGAGATGCGTAATATTCAACTAAAACTGTTGAAGGATTATTCATTGCCCATTAGAAATAAGTGTCACTGTCTTTTATAGATGCTTCAAAATGCAATTTTTTTAAATTATCATTATAATGTTGGCCTTTGATACAGCACTAAAAAACATTTTATTTTTATTTTTTTTTCTGTTAAAGGGTCTACACTCTACAAAATACTGAAAACAGCAAATCATTAATACCATATAAAATATTTGTCTGGATTTCTTCTTTTTGTTCACATTGGTTTAAAGGCTTGAATTATTGTTGATATCTTCTATTGATAGCAATCTTTTTTCTTGTATGTTTTCTCTCTCTTTCTTTGCATTTTTGTTTAACACACTTATGCACGTGCAGGCAATCGATAATCTTAAAGCAAATTCTGCCACACTAAAGCAAACTATCAATGCGAATTTTGAGCCTCCTAAAGATTCACATAGGGCTAAGCTTGAGAATCTTGAAGGTTTACATAGTAAAGGAACCGAACCTTCTATGGGGCTGTCTAAAGCTCGACAAACATCTTCCCTTCCTCCTAACTTTTTTGATATTAAGGAAAAAAAGAAACAAAAAAGTGGTAAGTTTCCTATTTATATAATCTGGATTTAATATGGATTTATTTTTTAATGACATTATGCGGGACTGTGGGAGGCAAATATGTGTATGAATTTATCTTTTTTGCTTTGGATTTTTTGACAAGTTATGCTTTTTACCAGGTTTGTGTATGTTAGGAGTTTATTCCAGTGATACCTCCTTTTTTAGAAGACAAACTTCTTTTAACTTTTGACATCTTCTAATTAGTCACATGCTTGATGCGCATATAACATATTACAGTTTTGCTGCACCTATTGCTTAGGTCATCCTTTCTATTTCTGCATTGCACTCTGTGAAATCACTGTAGTGCAAAACTTAATTAAATGAATAATTATCATGTCAAATCATTGTTTTCTTAAAATGAAAAATAACCCCTCATCCTCCATTCCCCCTCCCCCAAAACCTATCTCTCAAACGTTCCACAAGTTTCCAATGCATCTTTTTCTTGAAGTCTTTGTTACTGTAAGTGACTCCTGTTTTCTTACCCAGCTCCTACCACTGAATCAAGAGATTTTGACAAACTCAAATATACTGAGGCCAATGTTCAATCTAAAGAATTGCAGCCATCTATACCAAGGAGCAAAATGGACATCAGAAATGAAAATACTGACTCAAAGAGTTCAGAATCTGGGCCATCCAAGGAACAAATATCAATGCTGACTCCTGGTACAGAAAGTAGGAAGGCCAAAGGACTTATTCCTGAAGGATTTTATGATAACAAAGATGCTGATTTGTGTGCACGTGGTATAACACCTGTCAAGCTTGATGTCAAGTAAGCTTTAGCTTGTTTTCCCCTATGTCTTGATTTTTCTCTCGGCTGCCCTTCTCAAATGCACATATTTAAATGTAGAAGTGTGGGTATTAGGTACTATGATATCTAGTACTTCATAATGAATTGGCAGTACTCACTTCAACAATCAGATCTGAATTCTATGTTAACTTTCTCTTTGGGATGTGCTTGGGAAGATATCTTGGAAAACAAAGGGAACTTAGGCTCCATTTGGAAAGGTGGATAACAACTTCCAGAAGTCATTTTCCCCATTTTCTGGTTTTGGAAAGACAGAAAAATGTTAAAAAAACATCAGCATTACCCTAGTGCCTCAAAGGCTCTCCCCGTCCGTTGCGGGGGAAAGGGGAGTTAGATGTACATAGCCTGACCCTATGTTTAAAACATAGAGCTATTGTTTTTAGATGACCCCTAATGAGCGTCGAAAGTTGCATTGACGAATTGGTACTTCACTATTGAAAGAAGTGCAAACTGTTTAAAGAGCTATTTTGCTTTATTCTAATTCCATCATACCCCAAAGCCAAAAAAATTGTGATTCTTTGGCTCCATCAGAGATGATGGAAATAAGACACAAAAATGAAGTAAATGGAAAATCATCCCTTGGTCAAATGGAAAATGAAGGCACAAGTCCGGAATTTGTCTTCTGGATAATTTGTTTGGAAGACATTTTCTGTTTCTCTTCCCTCTCCGCTCACTCTCTCGCATCTCACTCTCCTCATTGCCGCCAGTGGCGGATCCAGGATTGTAAATGGCTAGGGGCGGGATAATAAGGCGGGGGTTCGGGGGTAGTGTCCCCAGATTTTCTTAAAGATGCTTTTAAATTATGATGATTTTCAATTAATTTTATATCAAACAAGTTTAAAATAAGTAAAACAAAGTATTTCAAAAGTAGCAAAATGTTATACGGAGTATTAAATGAATTACGTATAACGAAGTATATTTTATATCACTAGAGTATTACAAATACTTCACTTTATATTCTATTTAAAAATGAAACAAACTTTTTTACTAAATCCATAACCAAAAATTGCTATAAATTAAGAAGTAATATTTTCCTATTTAGACTGCTTTTGGGATTGGGCTTTAGACAATTAGCTGGGCATTTTATTTACTAGACTCGTCCACTGGGGGCAGTTTTTATTATTTTACTAGGGCCAGTGTACTTAAAACTAAAAAAAATAAAAAAATAAAAAAAGATTTTTGACTGGGGGCAGCTGCTCCCATATTCAAGAAGGTGGATCCGCCACTGATTGCTGCCACCACCATAGCTGTCGTCCCCATTCCAATCCCTCATCCCTCATACCCTCTTTGCCATCCCCATCTTCATCACTCTCTCGCAAAAGTTGGACGAAAATTGCATCCTTTGGAACCAACTGCAGACAGTAGCAACTCCAGGCAGCTGCATCACCCAGACAATCGGCAATTTAGCACCCCAAATTCATTCTGAAGGTATAAATTTCATTCCTCCTGATTTAGCCTCTGTGGGATTAAATTTGCCTATTTTTCGTTGAAGAGATATAAGAAAGACCGTATCATTCAAGTCTGAGTATGAGCTTTCTCTCAAAACCTTTACTTGTTTTTTTGTGTTGTGGCGTGTAATGTTTAGTTGTTGAATGCCAACTGTTCGGCGATGTGCCTAAATGACAAAACCGGATATTGCTTCTAGGTGCACTTCGTTTGTTTTCTGGGTATTCATTTTATAGAAGTGAGCCACACAGAAAAAGATAGTTTTCAAATTTCTAGCCAAACACTGGAAAAGGAAAATGAGTTCAGGACAAAAGTCATTTCACCCCTTTCCAAACGGAGCCTTAAAGGGAGTAAAAGTTAAGGGTTTGGAACTTTGAGGGATTAGCATCCCTCCGAGGCATTCCCCAGTCCCCACCATTAAATAACAAAATAAGACTATGGTTCTGTCATGCCTACTGTGGCAGCAACTACTCCGCATATATGTAATCAGTCTTCGGAATCCAATAAATTATGTTGTTGGGTACTTGGGTGTTGCCTGAAATAAAAATTATGGTCAGAGACGAGTACAAGGAATTTGAGAAGTTGATCCAAGAGGACTTACAGCAGGTTGACAAACGCTTAGAGGAAGAGGAGGTCAGTTCAATTGCTGCATTTTTTTAATGTTTGGCTAGAAGTTCCTTTATTATTTTTATTAACTCCCTTTGGTGCTCCATCTTGCAGTATGATGCAGCAGACATGATAGAAGAGGCAGAGACTGTGGAACAAAGGTAAGCATTTAAATTGGTGACAATAAGTTAGCCTTTGTTTGTCAAGCCTCCTTACTTTTTCAGGTTGGGACCTCCTATTCTAAATTGTATTAGAATTGTATCCATCTTGTATTTCAATTCAACACTTAAATTGTTGCCACTTGCACTTACCCGGCCATTGTGATGTGGGAAATGGATTTACTCTCTTTGTCCCAAAAAAGTCATTTTTTAAAAATTATTTCTTCACCTTATTAGGACAAGTATGGTCTGGTTTAAAAGTTGAACTTTAGATTTTAAGCAGAGTCTTGTGAAGCGAAGCGGCAATAGGCTTTATTCAATTGTGCTCCAAGCAATACTTGAATAAGTTATAGGTATAATAAAGTCCACGTACATAATTTGTAAAAGCCTATGCCTTGATTGAATTTATCAAACATTAAAAAGTTTCACCTTAGTACCTTACTCATATACCGACTGAGAATGTACACGTGGCAACTTGGGATATACTTTTGGAACTGAAGTTGTCTCACCCCCATACTCCCTCCGTCCCAAAATAAATGTCCTAGTTTGACTTTCATGGAGTTCAAAAGAAAATGAAATTGTATGGTGGAGTTTATGCAGAGGAGAGAAATTATGTGAACCGCTCATTTCATTCCAAAATAGGAAAGTGACATTTATTTCGGGACATCCAAATAAGGAAAACTGGACATTTATTTCGGGACGGAGGGATTGTTCTTGTTACATAATCTTACCCTTTTGCCCCTCACATATGACTTCAGGGCTTATAAGGAGAGAGTGGAAATGCTGAAGAAGAGAAAGATGGAACTCAAGGCTGGCAAGTCTACCCTTCGTAGCAAAGCTACTCTTCCTGTAACCACTAAGGAGTCCACTGTCGAAGAAGAGTCGTCAAGTGGCACCGACAGTGATGACGAAATTTTAACAGTCGATTGGAGAGCTAAACATCTGTGAAATTAATGTGCATTTTTTTGTTTTCTTGGTAATGTTCTCTACCATCCCAGTAATTTGTTACTCCCTCCGTCCCGGAGTATTCGTCCAGTTTTGACTTTTGGAACTGTTCATCTAAGCACTTTAACTCATCAAATTCTCTCAATGTATAAGCTTAAATATAGTCATGTGTGATCTTGTTTGATTTGTCTTAACATATAGATTATTAATATATAATTTCTATAATTTTTAAATATACAAATTACAGCATAAAATGAATTAAAGAAGTGTATTGGATAGTGTGTAAAAATGAAAGTGGACAAATACTCTGGGACGGAGGTAGTATCTCATGGAAGCACTATTGTTTTAAATTTCTGATCTAATTTGAATCCCTTGGTCGTTGTTGTCTTGTAGCAGATTTTGGAGTTGGCTGAACCATGGACAAGGCAAAGTTCAACCTGTGACATCTGTTTTGGCAGAGAAATGTGAATACGTATAAAAACTGATCTACCAAACATGATTATTGTTTTAGAATTTGAAGACAGCACAAAAAAATGGAAGTACAAAACAAGAAACTTTACTTTACGGGCAAATCTATTTGGAGTTATACATGAATGAATCAAGGGGTAGGTTCGGGTCACATTAGTGTCTCATGTCATGACATGAGCCTCGATTAGAGCACCTACGGGTCTCGTTCGAAAAATTGATGTTTCCTACCCCAAAACACCCCCGGTAAACCCCCCAACCCCGGACTGACCCAAGCCGACCCCCCACCCCCTCCAATTGCACCCCACAAAATTTAGTTGACTTTGGAGTCAAATTAGGAACCATTAATTTTTTAAACGGAGCACCGTAAATGCCACGACTCATCCTATGATATTAAAATTCAATGTCACTTAAACCGGGGTGAAGGGGAAGCAAGCTATTTCATTCAAGAATACATAGTTCATTAATTTAATTCGGTTTACTCGAAACCAAAGACCATATTGAAGGAAATTATATTTTTAGGTTAGGTTTGATTTTACGTAAAAAAAAAAGTGTATAGTTGGCTGGTCGATTTGGTTTTTTGCGGTTTTGTTTTTAGTTTTATCAGTTTTTTTTTGTTAAAATTTACATTTTTTGAACAAAAAATCTGAAGTGTGTTGTAGAAAAAAGTTAATGTAGAAGATTTTATCAAATAACAATGTTAAAACATGTAAAAGATTTTATCAAATAACTCTAAGTACTAAGTACAACCAGGTTTACGTTGTACGATATACATCCTCGAGTAGAATGGACGAGCCCGCATAGACAACGGGGAGAAGATGTCAAGTCGTTAATCTTAGGATTGAAATCCAGCAGCGACAGTATGGAAGTTCTATTATTTGTAATAGCTCCTGGTGTATACCAGAAATGAGATAACCTCTGGTCCAAATTAAGATTATATGATAAGGACCATGCTACACTTTCACCAAAAAATATATCCCATTTGTATACCACAATTATGCATAAACATTTTGATGGTTTATACCGACATAAGTGTTGGTGCGTTGACAAAAATTTACACGAATACAAAGTGTTGGTGCGTTAATAAAAATTAGTTTTACACCAACACAAAATGTACAAAATATTGGTATAAACGTGCGGGGTACAAATTAGGGTATAAATGTTGGGGTATAATCCATAATTACCACTTACAATCTTATCTAGGTGGAATGGACGAGATTTTTACAAATGGGTATATGATTTAATAACAGCCCATTTCTTTCTTTGTCACTCCAATACATTCTCCAGCCAAACTTACACATCCGTCCTAGCCAGAGAGTTCCACTCCCTTCACTATTCTTCTTTCAGACGCCATTAACCAAGCTCCGGATTTGATACCTCTCTACCCTAATTTTCTCCCGCCGGTTTTACTATGACTATAATGGCGTTCTTCTATAGCGGGTGATTACAGGTATAATGAACGCCGAACATCTATTTTTGGTTTTTTTTTCTACATTTTTATTACAGTAATTGTGTGCAATGAGTATTCATATGGCAGAACCAGTATAGGATAATGGAATCTGTGAACCTCCAAAGTTCTGCCAATCTGTTCACTGAACACACATACACTTGTACCATTATTACCATTTGTGCCCAATCCTTTCAATTATTTACATTGTTAATAGATACTGGCAGAAGATTCAAATTTTAATTTTTATTGACCCATTATCAAAATTTTCACAATCAATACTTTGGTACAAATGGGGAAGCAGCAGTGTATTGTTATACAATTTAGTATGTTTTAGTTAGAAAGAACAAAGTGAGGCTGTAGTCTTAATCCAAATAGGTATTAAAGTCCCAATAGGTAGCAGTGCACTGGTATGTAATTTAGTATGTTTTAATTGAAAAGAAAGAAGTTTAAGTTAGTACTGGTATATAATTTAGTATGTTTTAATCCAAATACGAGGCATTTTATTTAGTGGGGAAAGTAGTAGTGTAAAAATGTAAAATGGAGGAAGTGGAATAGGATATTTATAACATGTTTAGTAGGAAAACCCCATGAAAAAATGCATTCTCAAGCATAAACCTCTCCATCATTTCTGTAAGATGTTAGGTCATAAGACCCAATTAATCTAAACTTCAAATGAGCCTGTACATTAGAAGGTCAGAGATCCTTCAATTTGATCTTAATAGGAGGCATTTTATTTCGATGTGGAAGAGTTTTAAAAATGTAAGGGAGAGGAAGTAGTAGTGTAAAATGGAGGAAATGTAATAGGATATTTTTAGCATGAATGG